TCTGGTGGGTAGTCATGCATGAGGTGCATGCATGGGGACACCTTGCCCTGCCCGGTGCATCCTGTCACAGCCCCACAAAACAGCCAAGGGGTTCCCTCACTGATCCTTACCCCAAGTTCCCCACGCTGAGGCCCCCACCTGCCTTCTTCCTGGCTCTCCAGCAGCCCCTCCGGCTGGTGAGGCCAGGCCTGGGCTTCTCATTTCCAGTCCCTCTCTTTATCCTTCCTGGCTCCACCTCCTCTTGTCCTCTCCCCTCCGGCTCATTTTCTTAGGAGGGCCTGACACACTGGGGAGTAATAGCTGAAAATCAAGACAACCCTCCACCCCAAACTTGACTGAGAATATGAAATAGAAAGCTGGACTGGCTTTCCCCCAGCTCGTGAGGCCAGTCCAAGGGCACTGGAGCTGAGTGTGAGAGCGATGATGTGGGTAGAAAATCCTGAAGATGCGAGAGAAGGATCACATTTATTTAGCTCTTTCTTGGGTTTCATAGACCTCATCTCACTTGATCTTCACAATGATCCAGGGACATAAGGCAGACACTGCACCCATTCATGTACGTAGGGAAACGGAGCCTCAGAAACATGACCTGTCTTGACCACATCACACCGTACCTGGAGCCAGGACGGGGTTAGGCAGATTGAGGCACTGCTCTATGCAAATTGCTCACCCCCTCTGACTTTGTTTGCTTATCTACTAAATGAGGGTAATCATGCACAACCCACAGGGTTGCCTTGGGGATTAAATAATACACTCACTAAATAATGGGGGCCATATTCAAACTTAGGTAGTATACTTAATGTAATTGTGGGACACAGGTCCCAGTGGCTCTCCACTTCACAACGCCTCTGCTGGACTTTTTTTTTTTTTTTTTTTTAAAAAAACATCACAGAGCCTTGCTGTACTCCTGGGACTTCCAGAGGACAAGGCCCTTTCTTCAGTCAGGCTGACCTAAGCGCAGCCAGCCCTCCCAAGCCACAGCTGTGTGTTGGGAAGCTGGACGCTCAGGCCCCTAATAAAGAGCAGACCTCCCAATCTCTTCATTCCCTCTCTCTCCCCTCACATAGGTTTTCAAATTAAAAGTAACTAAACACTAAATCCTAAAGAGGGAAAGGGGGGATAGGAGGCCCCCCAAAATACCAGGAGATGGAGGAAGTGGGGCTCTCTCCCTAGGAAAAGGGTATCCTAAAATCCAGATTCATAAGGGGTTCTCTCCTGCCACATCTTTCTCAACTCTGAGGCCTGTAGGCCCACTTGGGCTGGGCTGGGCTGGGCCACAAAACAGAGCTCCCAGTCTCTGGTCCTCTGTGTGGTCTGTAAGCAGGCTGCCGGGTTAGGGACCATAGGAGCCTTTGCAGCTGGTCGCCAGCCACAGGGAACTGCTGTCTACGTCTCCCTAGACCCAAATCTCGAGAGAGAAAGACCCAAGGAACCCAGAAGAGACGCTGCACCCTTAGCTAGCCAGCAACCGCCAAGGAGAGGAGGTGCGCAGGGATCCCTGGACAGAGAACTGACATCCCCGATTACACACGCTAGTCTGGACCCTTCTGGAGCACTCTTCCTCCTCCTTTTTCAAGACTTGGGCCTCTCTGCATCCTGAGCGTGCAAAGAGCCTCGGAGCAAGCTTCCAAGCCTCTGCTGGGGCAGACCCGAGGCAAGGGCGGAGTTCTCTCTGCTCTCCCCGCGGAGACCCCACATCTGTGCGCCACATCCACACGCCTCCTCCGAGCCTTCCCTAAGAAGTTCCCTTTGCCGGGCCCAGGGAGGCGGCTTTTCCAGGCGAAGGCAAGTATTGAAGTGGTGGAGGGAGGAAGGGGTAGTTAGCGCCGTTTTCTTTTGCAAACCGCCAAACGAGTTGCATTTTCAACTTGCGAACCTAGAACTGTGCCCCCATCCCATCAATCTCATTTGGGGAGAAAAAAAAAAAATCACAAGTTTGTTTAAACTGTGACTTGCACAACGAACGGCTTTGATAACTGCTACAACCCTAAGTCTTCTAAAGCAAAAGGACCTTCTGAATTCTCTAAGGAAAGCAGAACTAGGGGTGGAGCTGTAGAGCAGGGGAGTAGAGAAAACAAAAACCCAGCTCAGCGGGGAACGCCCACGAAAGCCAAAGGTGTGCGGCCCAGAGCTGCGGCGGAGGTTACGGAGGAGGGGGCCGCAGGCGCGAGCCCGGGAGCAGGGCGGGGGAGATTCTGTTTTGTTTTCAGGGACCATTTTGGTTTGGTTGTGCGTAGTCTGCGAGGCCCCCTTTTTGATGGCTGGCTCTACTTAATCTCTTTTATACACTTGCACCCAATTTTATGTCGCCTGTGAGCCTGGACGAGCGAGGCCACGCCAGAACGGCCGTGCCCCCGACGGCTTTCCCCGACTTCTCTGCCCAGCTCAACTCCAGAGTCAGGCCTCCTTCCCAGAGGGGCCGCAGCCCCCCGCCCCCCGACTCGCGGTTTGGGGAGAAAAGCCTCATTTTTAACCTCATGATGATTCCTCAAGGGAAAAACCCAAGAGGTTAAAATAAAAACCCGGTTTGGGCTGGGACCTTCGCACAGCTGCCCACGTCGGCGAAAGTCACCCCTTGGCGCGCAGCGGGTGGCCTGGTCCCCCACGGTGCCAGGGGCCGGAGCCCGGGGAGAGGAGAAAGGACCTCGCAGTCCGCCTTGGCCAGCGGCGCTTCTTGCCCACGGCGGCTCCAGGACCACCCAGGACCCCGGGCGCCCAGGGAGCAATCTGGAAAGATCTTAGAACAACAGGGGAAGAACGCGGCTCGCCTCCCCCCTTCCATTCCTTGCCTCCGCCGCCTCCCGGGCTGACTACGCGGCAGACCAGTCCTCTCCCGAAGGCTCGGACAGGCGGCGGAGGGGGACTGCAAGATTCAAATCCGCCTATGAGCCGTGGGAGGCGCGGGTGGGTGGTGGCTGCGGGGGCCGGACCGGTTTTAAGGCACGAACCGCCTCTTTTCGAGGGCCTCCAGGCCCGAAGTTGCTCCCGACCACTGGGTTTATTTTGCTTTTGCAGGGGAGGCAGATGTTGACCTCTCTCCATCTTTGCTCGGCCCTGACTCGGCGAAATCATTCCCCCCCCCAGCCATTTGCTTCCCTGCGCCACCCCCCCCCCGGTGCGCTGTCCCGGGAGTCAGCATCCTAGTCCTTTAAACCTTCTGGAATGTCACACATGGAAAGCTTTAGCAAATGTTTGTTAATGATCATAACAAAGGCATCATTCAAATTAGGCAGGTAATTACTACCAGAAGGACAACTGGGTGCTCACTTGCTCATCCATTCCCCATGCTTCAAACTCACGAGGAGTTACGACCCGAAGACACCCCCGCCCAGCCCGCTTTTCGGGCCGCCTTTAAGCATCTCTGAAATGAACTGTGAAGTTACCATTTGTGGGCGGGGAGCCCAGGGTTCTGAAGATCCCGGCGCGACGGGGCTGGCAGTTTCCCAGAGCAAAGCAGGCCTTCCTGGGTAGGCTCCCTACCTTGCCTCCTACTCTTTAGGGTATTTGATATAAAAATTTAGATCTCAAGTTATCTTTATTAATAGCATGAAAGCCAGCACCCGCCTTCTCTTATTATTACGCACGCTGATATTTTGGGGGGTCGCGCGTCCCGGTTCATTATCTACAAACATTACGGTATCCTGTTAGCATTCCGAACAAGGGGCTGTTCATATATTTGCCTTCAATGATTTCCTGAAGGAACATGTGGAAGTAATAGTGAGCAGGGCAGTCACCCGAACTGAAGATGCACGAGAGGCGGGCGCGCAGAAGAGCTCGGGGAATGGGGCCCCTGGCCCAGCCCCAGGCGTCTTCCCGAGACTGACACCCCAGGAGCCCATCCCAGAGCAGCCCAGGACCCCACACCTTTCTGTGACCCTCTCCTGCCCGCTGTTTTCTTGTCCACCTTCCAGATGAAGGAGAAAGTTGATGACTGTCCGACGTTCCAGGCTCAACCTGGACGCCGTAGCCCTTCTGAGAGTGTGGAGGTGGAGTGGGGGTGGAGATAAAAAAAATGACCCCTTCCATCCAACAGGAGAACTCAAAATTAGAGAAGGCGGGGAAGGTGAACGCGCTCCCCTCCCCCTCCGTCACTTGGAAGCCCCACTCGGCCTGGTTTGGTTCCTGGAGCGGCAGCGCCCCCTTTCCTTCGCGAGAAGAATCGTTCTCTCCCGGTAGAGTCTCTTGCCTGGCGCTTGGGGCAGAGGATTTGGGGCTCCGCTCAACCCCAGGGCATCGATAAGGTTCGTCCCTCGCGGCGGGAAGGAGCTCACGGAGGTGAACCTTCCCTGAACGCGGGGGTGGCAGGTTTGTTGTAGACGATTCCTCAAACGCCCAAGCCCGAGCCTTTTTGTGTGCGTGATAGAAGCCAGGGCAACCTCGCCCAGATTACCCCGAAAACAAAGGCACGACAAGATAAGTGGCTCCAGGGGAGTAAAGGTCGTTCTGTCGGAGAACGTTCCAAACCTACGCAGACCCTCGATTCTTTGTACCGTCTTTCAAACCCATTTTCAAAGCAAAACAAAACAAAACAAAAAACAAAGACCATCATCTTCATATTGGACTCAACAGTTTGCTTAATCCCATTAAAGGATTAGCAACTACCCGGCACTTTCCCTAAAGGACCCCAAGTTGTAAAGACGCAACTGCTTGGAGACCTCTCCGGACAGCCCCCTGTCTAGTTGGGCTACGAATTTCTACGGAAGGGACATTCTCGATTCCAGATGTATAATCTTTCTGGGCATTAACTGCAATTTCACGAGTTCTTTTTCTTTCTTTCAAAGAGAATGCAAAGCAGTATAGCAGCGTTGGAAAATATCCCCCTAAGTCAGGAGGCAAACTCCTTCTGGAAATGATGGGCAATTTGTATTTTCACGAACCTCTTTCCCGGCAGAACATCAGCACCTCCCCCTTCCACCACCCCCACCCCATCTGGTCTGCTTCTCCCCGCCCCCCAGTTGTTGTCGAAGTCTGGGGGTTGGGGCTGGACCCCCTGATTGCGTAAGAGCAAAAAGCGAAGGCGCAATCTGGATGCGTGGAGATTCAGAGAGCACGGAGTTCGAGAAAACTTTTATTTTGAAGAGGCCAAGGGGGGGGGCGCTTCATTTCCTGACAGCTATTTACTTAGAGCAAATGATTAGTTTTAGAAGGATGGACTATAACGTTGAATCAATTACAAAACGCGGTTTTTGAGCCCATTACAGTTGGAGCTAGAGGGAGAAAAACAGAGGAGGGGACTACAGGAGAGGACTGGAAACGGTGGACACTTTTTACTCCCTATGTAGGATTTTCATTACGAATTGACATAGGAGGAGAAGGTAAGAAAGGAGAAAAAATGATTTTTGTTTCTAAGAAGTCCCTGATCAGGCCCCTTGGGCTAGAAAAGAAGTAACTTCACTCAAACGTTGGGCGATGAGGAAAAAAATGGAGTTGAATTCCAGCTGTGTGTCCAGAGAGTCATTTATTTTGAATAAACTTCACTTGGAAGAAAGATAACCATAGAGTTAGAAAGTCTAGGGATTAAAAAAAAAAAAAAACACATTTTCCAGACCTATTTTTGAAAGCAGTGTTTTTCTAACAACTCTGTAGCCTCCCAAAGAAATTGTTTAGGCTTACATTTTTGAGGTTTCTTTTGGGTTGGGGGTGGTATTCGTGTATACTGGGACGAGCACCAAGTAATGCTGGGAGTGGGGGCAGAGGTGTTTGCCCTCTTCTTGGCAGTAGGTCCTGGAAGGCGACAGGTTTTTAATGAGTATTTTCATTCCTCGCCCGCGGTTTGGCGGGACAGCGCTGCAGTCGGTGGTGTGGAGCGCGGCTGGGGGACTGGGGGAGGTGGAAGGAGAAGAGCGCCGAGTCGGGCGCGGAAGGGGTTGCGAGGAGGGGAGGCGTGAAGGGCTCGGCTGGAGAGGGCCGGGCCTTGGGTGCCAGCCGGGGGCACATGGCGCCGGCCGAGGGCGCGTAATTACTGGACGGCGCAGAGCGCCGGGGCTAGACACAGCACAACCGTGGCGGCTGCAAGACGAGCAGAGGGGGCGCGGACCTGGGCGAGGGTTTGAGGGACTCCGCAGCGGTTTGCGGGATCAGTGAAGTGAGAGGGAGAGCGGGCGCCAGTCCCGCAGTGCGCTGGGGTTGTGCGCCCTAGTGCGGGGGCGAAGGCGGCGCGGGCGGGCGGGCAGGCGGTCTGGAGTAATGACAAACACATTTGGCCCCGAGTGAAGAAGTCGCCGTCGCCTCGCATTCCAGCAAGTGGGATTTGAGGAATTTCGTCCTGCTCTCCAAGGGGCCTTCATTGTGCGCTGTGGTCCCCACCCCCACTCGTCTCCTCGCGCCCCCTTTCCTCGGTGGAATCGTTTTTTGTTTTGTTTTTTTTGCAAAGCCCGGGGCTCTACTGCTGCCCAGTCCCGGCCACAGGAAGGAAAGAAGGAAGATCGCCAGAAAAGTGCAGAACTTCTCTTGGGGGAGTTAGGGACGACTGAGAACAGAGAAACTTGGTTCCCAGGTAAGAGAAAGATGGTAGGCGAACCGACCTCACCACCTCCCTCCGGGCACCTGAGCTCAAGACCCCCCCCCCCTTGCGTGTCCCTTTCCTCGCGGGGATGGGTGGCACTCGCCGCCTGCGCTCGCCCTGCGCTGCTTCATCCTCTCCAAGTGCCTCCTGCACTCTTTGCGCCGGCCTTCCTGCCTGCTTCGGAGCCGTCTCCTCGCGCCCCTGCTTCCTCCTTCGTCTGTCCCCATCCCGGCACTGCCCGGGGAACGGGCGGCGTCCACTTGGCTCGGAAACAAATGGGATCAGCGGTTCTGTTGGGAAAGGGTCGCAGCCAGCTCAGAGCCAGAGGGACCCGAGTACGACAGCCCTAAGGGCCAGGAACCCGACCGCCTGGCCAGGTGTGCGGGAGCTGCCAGTGCCCTGGCCAAGCGTCTCCGACGGGAAGAAGTGTTGGGCTGTCTGTCTGTTGGCTGTGCGTCCTTCCAGCAGCCGGAGCGCCCGTCCCTCTCTCTGCTTCCGCTTCCCTAGCCCTGCTAAGACCTTAGGATTGCAGAACGAGTGCCTGGAAGAACTTGCCACTCACTCCATCTGCCAGGCTGAGAGGCAAATCCGGGCTGGAGAGGGAGCGTGGATGGCCTTTATCAGGTCCGGACTGCCCCCGAGCCTGGCCCAGCTGCCTGGAAAAGCCCCGGGCTGCGCCGTGTGGGAAATGGCTTTTTGGCTCCGCAGCCGAATTGCTCAACGTTTTGGACCGACTCGGCTTGCCGCAGTTGCTCGCGACCAGAACTAAGCAGCTTCTTAGAGCAGGGAGACATCCGGGGCATACGGGCAGGACAATCAGCCGCACAGCTCCCGGGACTAACACCCCGGAGCCCAGCGAGCGTCCGGGCTGCTGGAGGGCAGGCAGAGGCACTCCCGGCTTGCGCACCTCATCCGCAGCCCCGGTGGCTCTGGTTTTAACATCCCCCACCCTTTACCCGGCTCTGACCCACTCGGACCCTGGCGCTTCTGCTTTGCATCTCTTCCCTGTTTTCCTTTCCTCTTGGTTTCCTCCTTTCCTCTTGCTTGCCCTCTTTCCACTCTCCCATGATAAAGGGGCCCTTCCTCCGCTCCCCCACAGGCCGACAGGCGAGGGCCCGTCCATCTTCGCTTTGACACCCTGGTCAGTCCCTGCTTCGAGGCTCTTACAGTAGTCTTGTGTTTGATTTGACCAAGTGTAGCTTGGGTGAGTCCCCACAGCGGGGGTGGGGGTGGGGGAGGGGGGAGGCAGAAAGAGGAGGTGAGGGGGTCGGCAGCGGGAAGGAGCGGGTAGCTGACCCTCGGCCCTTGCACCAGTCCTTAGGTGGACATAGAGGGACTCGAAGCAGAACCCCGGCTCCCGGCCCCAGGTCTGCTTTCTTCTTGGGGCGCGGACTGGGGAGGGGTGCAGGGGGAGGGGCAACGGGCCGGGCTTTCCAGCTGCAAACGCGTCTGGCGCCGAGGCGGGCCCGTTTTGTGCCTCCTGGGGACCGGCCGTGGGCGGCGCGCAGCGCCTGGACGCGTCCTGCGGACGTGGTGGCCAGCGCCTTCCTGCAGAGTCCAGCGGGTGGGACTCCCTCCGGCCTCCGGGGAGCTGCGACAGGGTTACATGTTGCTGATGGACGAGTGGCAGTTCTGGGGGAAAAGCTAAAGCCTGCTCGGTGATTGAAAGGTGCGGCTCTCAGCGTCCCTTGAGTTTGGCTTCGAGGGGCCCACGCGCAGCATCAGCCGTCGGGGTGCGAGGGGGGAGGTCCCGCGCGGGATGCAGGCTCCGGGCAAATTGCTTTTCTCTCCTGAGCTCTAGTCCGAGCTCTGCCGGTGCATGTCTTTTGCTGAAGTGGCTCTGCGGCATTTCCTTTTGTTTTAAACTGAACAGGGAGCCAGGAATTGGTTGGAAAAATAGATTGGAGTAGCTAAAGAGAACCTCGGATTTGGGGCGCTCCCCTCCCAGCCAACTGCAGTTCTCCCCTTCCCGGAGAAAGGGAAGCGAGGGGCGCTTGTGGGCGCGAGTGTGCGCTGGGCTGCCGGGGCAGAAGCGAGCATCGGGCTGCGGGGAGCAGGGGGAGGCCCAGTTCTTTAAAGACGAAGGGTCGCAGTCTCAGCGCCCCGAGGCCTTCTCCGCCAGCAGCTGCCCGCGGCCGTGTCGCTTTCGGGCCCATAGGAGGCGCTGGCGCGCGACTGTAACCCTAAACCACCCCCCGGCCCCTCTCCCTCCACCCCTCCCAGCCACCTCTCAGGTCTCCGCCGAAAACAATGCAAACGCCCAGCTTCGTGCCTGGGGCGCCGCGGCCGCTGCAGCTCTGAGGCCGGGAGTGCGGACGATAGGGACGCTAAACTCCGACCGAGCGGGAGGTCGTCGCCACCAACCCCGGAGTGACAGAGCGGCCGAGGGCGTGGGGACGGCGGGAAGGGAAGCGGCCGGCGCGGGGTCGTGTGGGGGCAGCGGGGCAGGAGGCGGGACCGTGAGGAACCTCCCCGGCGAAGGTGGTGGAGCTGCCGGGCCGGGCTGCGCTGTAGGGGACCGGGAGCCTGAGCAGCCGGCGGCGGGCGGGCCAGCGAGCCGGCGAGCCGGGTAAGATTCGCGGGGCTGCTGCGCCCTCTAGTGGCCTTCCGGAGCGTGCGCCTCCCGGCTCTCCTGCCTCCGGCGCTCGGAGTGCAGCGCTGAGCCCGAAGGCCCCGGGCCGACCGACCGTATCACCTTTGCCGCGGCCGGAGACCTCGGATAGACGCCTGCAGGCAGGTGTGTGTGGCTCGGGAAGCGCTGGGGGAGAGGGAGGGGCGGGCTGCAGGGTTTGGGGATGGGCTGGGGGCGTCGTCGTGATTGAGCGTGGGACAAGCGGAGGAAGGCGGAGGGTAAGAGGTGCCGGGCGCTTTTGGGGGGGGGTAGCAGCCGACGTTTGAGGCCCCTCGCTAGGTCCCCTGCCGCGCGGGCGGCCCCTGGCTGTTTGTTTGTTTTACGACCCTACGCTATTGAGCAACGGGAACAGTCGTTTCCAATCAGCCCGCGGTTCCCGGCTGCCAGGCCGTCGCGGCCCCCGCCGAGCGGGTTTACGAGGGGTGACAACAGCCTGCGAACAGATCGGGCTGCGTGGCTAGGGCTGCGGCGTCGAGGTCGCCACCCGGCGCGGCCCGGCTGGTTTCCCTCCTGCGGGTGGGCGCCATCCCCGGGGTGGGGAGAGCGTCGGGGAAACAAAGCCCTGGGTCCCCGACCTCCTCTCGAGTGGCTTCTCCTGCCCAACCCTCTGAACCTGTGCGGCCTGGGGTGGCAGCGCCGTCTTGAGGGCTCCCGAGGCCCCGCTGCCCTAGCGGACTCGTTCGCAGAGACCGTGCTGGTGCCTGGCCCTCACCGAATTCTCCTGGGACCCCGAGGACAGTGAAGCATTTTCGGCAACAGTTTCCCTATTCCTGCTTCCATTCTGTGGGCTCTGAACCGAGGTCACCACGACACCTAAAAGTACGATCCAAGAAAGGAAGAGATTGGAAGTTAAGATTTGGGACACTTCAGCACAGAACTTCCAGCAGCGTCTGTGTCTCCACGGACCCCGGGACGCACGTCCTTGGACCAACACTGTCATCTGCTGGCCACACTTAAGAACTGCAACGAGCCTCTGTGGGAATGGGCTTCGTGGAGATTCGAAGCAAGTTGTGGCATGAGGAAGATGCATTTTCTGCCTGGTAGGACCAAGTGGAAGATGATGACTAGTTTCTTTTTACTACAGAGCTGCAAGAATCATTGGGCTGGTCACGTTTGTTTTGTGGACCTTTGTGTAGTTCTTCACCTTAGTTCGTTCTTTGCATTTGTGTAATGAGCAAAGTGTGGACCTACCACGTCTATCAGAGCAAGTCTGTGAAGAAGCTAGGCAGATATTTGCATATCCCTTTATGAGTGAAGTGCCGGAGTTGGGAGCTTGGTGATCTTGAGTTCAAGTGCACTATAAGCGACTACACCCAAGGTTGTCTCATTAGGAGTCACACCAGTTTGGTGACAATCAAAAGGAAGTGTCATTTCAGTCTTCTATGGCTAAATATCTGGTGCAGGAAGAGCAGAAGGGTTTACAAGCTCAGATTGTCCCATAAAATGCTCCCGTGTAAGAATACTCCAGCCACCACCCATTACTGGAATGTCTGATGGAGCACAGAGAGATCAAAACAGCAAAACAGTGTCTGGTGGGGTGCAGATCCTGGTAAACACACCCTCCATGAAGTTGCCACCAGTGTAGGCCAACATTTGGATTGCCAGGGCTGAAGTTACGAGATGGAGTACAACATTTGTCACAGGGAAAAAGCAGGACATGTAATTTTCACAGTTAGAATTAACTTAGAGCCGAAATTAACCGAACCTCGGGAATCTGAATCTGGAAGTTGTCAGTGGCTTTGGGGACTGTGAGAGAGTCTCCTGTGGCCTTTAATCATGCCAGGGTGGGGTGAAATTCAAGATTCAGTGGCTCAGTGGTGGGATGCGTTGAGCCCTTGGCGATCGGGAAGTTAGCTCTCTGGCTTTCTGAGAAGGCTAGTGTGCTCTCATTTCTGGAAATAGTGCCCAAGCTCTGTTTACTCTCTAGCTTAGCACATTGTCTTTGGTTATTGAGTTGCCCTTCAAGGCTCTTCACTTCTGTTTGCAGGAACGGGGGTGGCAGCCCATTAAGGACGGTGGCTACAAACAGATTTCTTTTTCTGTTTTATGTCACCGTATGTATTGGTTCAAGTTAAAACAGCCTTGATGTTTCATCAGGCCTTCGTTAAACCTAAGTCTAGATCCACCTCTCCAATATGCAGGTGATGAAGGGCAAGTCCAAAGGCCTCTGGGCCTGACCTTCTCAGTAAGTAGAAGTTGAAGGAGTTACTCTGACATCCCCGTCATCTCAGACATCTTGGGGGGGGTGGTGCTGCCTGGGTGCCACAGTCAGTTGAGCATCCGTACAACTCTTGATTTCAGCTCAGGTCATGATCTCGGGGTCGTGAGATCAAGCGCTACATTAGCTCCGTGCTGAGCACAGAGTCTGCTTGGGATTCTCTCTCTCTCCCTCTGCCCCTCCCCCTCATGCACACACTCTCTCAAATAAATAATAAATAAAATATTTATAAAACATCTTAGGAGTCTGCAGGAAAAGAGTCGATATGAAAACCAATGGCTGTGGTTTCTAAAGCACTTTTGACTAAACTATAACTTAGTCTTTGTAATAACGTGGTAAAGCAAACCAGCAAGTCAGGTGCTATTAATCCCCCTTTATAGAAGAAGAGCCGGAGGTTCAGAGAGATGGACTAAGTGTCTGATTGGGATGAACCTAGTCCAAAGTGATTTCCATCATACTTCGGAGAGAAGGAATGAGAAAGACAAGAAAATGCCATGGGTGGGGGGACCATAGGTCACTTGCCTGAGAGTGAACGTGGCAGTCATCTCTTTTCCCTCTTTGTTTCTCTTGCTCTTGGCAGCGCTTTTTGCATTGTGGTTGTAGAGGATGGAGCCTGAAACCCAACTCGTAGCTGGCATGAGAAGACATGATTATGATTTTTTAAAAACAGATTTGGATGAAGTCCGTTGCTCTCCTTGCAAAGTGATTTGTTCTTGCTGGCTCATTTCTCTGATTTTGTAACCTCAGTTACTTGTGTTTGCACATCTAACTTTTGGATATGCTCCAGGATAGGGATCACTGATTAAGGATGAGCGTTTACTCCCCGAGTGGAAAAGCCCGGGAAATAACGAGCTGGACTCCTCGAGATCCTCACTACATGGCCAATAGGCAGGGAGGCTATTCTCTCCTGTTGTTTGCCATTACCTCCCTGTAGGGCAAATACGCTGCAATTATTCACGACGCAATTGTCTGAGTTACAGATGAGTCATGACATGAAACTTCACAAATACGCCTGGGTTTCTAGCCAGGGAACTTCTCTTATCAGAGAAGGGAGTTTGAAATCTTCGGCAAACACATGTAGAGTCTCAGTGTTCGCATCATTATCGCTGGCTCTGAGGCCCTGCTTTCACTGCCCACGTTGTCTGTCAGTGAATTCTCCTCCCTAGCAGCAGGGCCACCGTGTCTGGATGCACAGAAGGCAAGCTGGTGGGGCTGGCCCGGGGCAAAACGCTCCTCAGAGCCCTTCTCTCAAGCTCGGGAATGCTTTAAAGATGCATCATTGGCAAGCCCTGCTAAAGAAATGCAGGATATAAATGTGATAAAACCCAAGACATCAAGCTGGCTCTGGAGGGCTCCTTTGAAGTTGGCTAAGTGGATTATCAGTGGGAGGCTGATATTTATATGTACAAACACACAGGCCGTTACTGCTAATTGTGGTAAATCAGGCTGGCCAGCCTGGCTCTGGGGCCCGCTGTGCCCGTCACCACAGCAGTGAGGAAACCCTGCAAAACACCCCCCACCCGCCGCCTCCCGGGCACATGCCAGGAGCCTCAGAAGCCATCAGCAAGCCAGCATTGTGCAAATTGCGTCTGGGTTCACAGCGCTGCAATTGTACTTCTCTCACTAGGGTGAGCAGAGAAGGGAAGAAGGGCCCCAGTTTGCATTAGGAAATAGTGCTGGGAGGGGGAGGGAGGCGACACGCAAGGCTGAAGCACTGACCTTCCCTTGAGGGAGACCATATGGTGAATTGGAGAGGGCATGGCTTTTGCATCACACAGACTTTGGGTTAGAATTCTGGGTTTAGCACCCGCTGTGTGACTTGGGGTGACTTGCTAAACTTCTCTGAGGCTCAGCTGGCACTTCCTAAAATCAAATATGTCTCAGGGTTATTGTTAATAGACACGGCATACAGATTTAGCATTTTTTTCCTGTCCAACCCTCCTCCCCACCCCCCACCGTGGCCAGCATTCTGCCTTTCACTCTGTCTGTCTTCCTGCTCCATTTTCCAGGTAGAATTCAATGAAGCAGAAATCTGATTTGTGCATATGGGCCGCCTGAAAGCAAAAATGCATGATCAGAGGCTAACCACAGGCATACATGGAGCTTCTTCTTTTTTTTTTTTTTCTGTGTTTTCTTGGTTTGTTTGTTTTAGGCCAATTTACTCAAGAATCATGAACACACATCTTAGTTTCCAAAGCTAGTGATGGAAAAGATTAAATCCCATGAAGTCCTTCCATTTCATGTGTTGGGGTTTTGAGCAAGGTAGGGACCCAGGACATCCCAGGAAAAGGCTTAGGTGATTTTTTTTTAATGGGATATTCTAAAGCTTGCACCCGCCCTGGGGGCCCCTCTGTAGGGCCTCTCCAATCGAAACTTGGGTGCTTCGCAGTGTCCACACCTGTAAGCCTGTGCACAGGTCTTTCATTGACTTCAGTCAGATCACGAAATCAGTGACTTCATGTGGGAAGTGATGGGGAGGAGATAAAATAAGGCGAGTGGGGATGCGCATGAAAAGAAAAAGATAAGGAAAAAGGGGCCGTTTCATGGGATTGACCAGAATAGACTGTTTCATGGCTTCACCTTGGGGCTCCTTGGGTCCCTCTTAATTTTCCCTCCCTTTCCCTGCTTGTGTCTTGTGACATTCGGTTTCAGTCTCTCTCCACTTCTCTTTCATTCCTCAGATTTTGCAGCAGGCAATTGGAGTCAAAGACTTGGTTTCTCCAGGTCTCTACTGAATTTTATTGGGTGGTTTACCACATCCCCCCAAACACAGACATTTAGGCATACTTTTCTCCCTGTTTCCTCTCCCTGCCTCACCTTCTTCACCTCCTTTCATGCCTGTGCCCTGGGCTCCCCGTACCTTGGTCAGCCCGACTGGGAGTGCAGTGGGTCCTGAGCCTACTAGGGGCCCGTGCATGGCAAAGGGACGTCCTCCAATTGACATTGGTTTTGACTTTCAAAAAACTCGAGATCAGAATGGCTTGTCAATATAAAGATATTTGTTGTAGCCCAAGCATCTTTTCCAAAGGTAGTGGTTGAGCTTCACGTACTCTCTGTAGTGAAACACAAAGCAAATGACAACCTATTTTGAGCGAAAATAGTTGCAGTTTGGAAGTTGAGTAAATACGTGCGTGCTTGTTTTTCACATTCTTAATTTCAGTGGATTAAAAGGAACAGTTCTCTTATACTCTTGGATGCATTCTGAGACCATAAAAGCCAGACTTTTTGGAATTTGAAAGCTGCGTGCAATCCAAAAGGGTTCAGCTTCAGATGGCTCCTGTCATGATCCTGGGCTCCCATTGGGCTATGGGATTCTTTTTTAGGTATCTTAACTGCTTTAACCATGAATCTTAAAGCAAGGTATTTTTGACTAAAATGATGCTATTAATGTTTTCCATATTGCAAAGCACAAAAGGAACGAGGCTCACCGGTGGATTTATTGGCTAACACTGCTTCTGTTTGACGTTTGATTTTCCAGTTTTCCGGAATGATGGGGACTTCCCTTCTGGCCCTCCTGATCTTAGGCTGTCTCCTCACAGGTAAGAATCCCAGTGCTCTCTGACTTCACTGTTCTGGGGGAACCCTTGCCTTCTAAGTTCTGTGCTCCGGGAGTGTATTCCCTGCACTGTGCAAACACAGTCCAAAAGAGGGGAGGGAAGTCGAAAATGTTGAGAAGTTATCTAGAATGATCACAAACCTTCAGTTCCCTTTGCTGGATCGAGCTAACTCCAGTTCAAAAGGAATGCTCACCAGTGGCAATTTTAGTATATGTATAATCCTGGCATTGAAACGGGGTAGGAATAATTGCCTAAATTTGCCCACTGCTCTTTTCTTTTTCCTGGGACATGGATTTCCGGAGACGTTCGCGAACGTTCGAAGGAAATAAACGATGGAAAATTCATGTCCAGGGTGTCATACCTGTCTTAGGTGGAAGATGCTTAAATTGCTGGAAAAATCTTGGAGCCACTTTTTCCCTTGGAATCTGATTGGTAGAATATTTGACTCTTGGGAAATCTTACTAACGTTTTTCTACCGGGAGGCTACTACTTGGACCATTTGTGGAAATATTTATTGGCATTTTTTTGGTTTTCATCCAGATGTTTATACATCACAGATGTTCACCATGAACCCAATGTTTTTCTGGTCTGAGGAGTTAACTTAAGTCTGTTAGTGTCTGTAGGGCTTACCTGTATGGGCATGTTAGCCTTAAGCAAGGGTTCAGTAGTTCCAAACACCACCAAGTATACCCCACCTGCAGGAGGATAGGTGACCGGATGCACTTATGACCCCGGCCTGAGGCTGCAAGAGTCATAGTGGGTGCATAGTGAAGTTGGGTGGGGTTCCCACACTGGGCTCCAAAGGAGATTAGAGACCATAGATTAATAATTAAGTCATAATATCTCTTCTGTCGGTTTTATAGACAGGGAAAACTGGACTGAAATTTTAGGTTCTAAGATGAACTTAGAGTTTTCTTTAAGTAGTCTTACTTTAAAAATTTAAGTATTTAAGTATTCTTTAAGTATTTAAGTATTCTTAATTTAAAAATTAAAATCCAGGGGCGCTTGGCTGGCTTAGGCAGTAGAGCACGAGACTCTTAATCTCAGGGTCATGAGTTCAAGCCCCACATTGGGTGTGGAGCCTACTTAAAAATAAATAAATTAAATTAAATTAAATTAAGTGAGAAAGCATGCCGGAGTGTTGTGAGGAATGGAAAAGACATGATTCTTGAACACAGACCTGCTTTGTGCTTCTTGCAGTCTCCCCGCCCCGGTTCTCACCCCATTTTGTACTAAGGGGAATATCTGCAGGGAATGTGGACAATAAAGAACCCATATGTGCTTGCGTCTCTGCCTCTTGGGATATTTTATGGTCACACACAAGAGTCTGAAATATGGAATTGGAATCAGGCGTCCTCTTCCATCTGAGTATTTGCTGGGGTGAATCTCAGGGTTTGGTGGGGCTTTTGAGGCCTTTGGAGCATTTGCTGCTCTCAGCAGATGCAGCGGCTGTTATAATGGGGGGCCTTTCATGGGCATCCAGGCTAACGGATTTTGGCGCAGAAACGGTCATTGTTGCCATAAGCCGCTGCTGTTGGCTCCTCTCGGTTCTCTGGGTGAGACTGTCCTTTCTGGCTGCACCCTATTCAGAGCCTGTTTCCTTTTACAGGGCCCAGCCTAATCCTCTGCCAGCTTTCATTACCGTCTATCCTCCCGAACGAAAATGAAAAGGTCGTGCAGCTGAATTCATCCTTTTCTCTGAGATGCTTTGGGGAGAGTGAAGTGAGCTGGCAGTACCCCATGTCTGAAGAAGAGAACCCCAATGTGGAAATCAGAAATGAGGAAAACAACAGTGGCCTTTTTGTGACCGTGCTGGAGGTGGTCAATGCGTCGGCGGCGCACACAGGCTTGTACACTTGCTATTACAACCACACTCAGACGGAGGAAACAGAGATTGAAGGCAGGCACATCTACATCTACGTGCCAGGTGAGCCGTGCGGGCCCCTGCACCACGCTCCTGGTCCTGTCCCTCCTGCCAGCTGGATTAGCGTCTTAAGAAATATAAACATGATAAACAGTTACAGGAGAAAATGTGACAAATATGAGAGAACGCACAACATTAAACCAAGGTCACTTGTGAGACCATTATCAAGAAATATGTATGGGTAACGTTTTGGAACCGCGTTAAGTATTAGAAAATATTTTTATCAGGGCACGTTTTATTGGCATTGTGCAAAAAAATCTGAAATGACTTCATTTCTGCTCAGCTCAACCAAGTTTGACGAGTATTTGCAGTTTATTTATTGTGTGTCAGGCGCTATGCGAAGTGTTGGGGGCACAAAAATTAATTAGGTACCTTGGAGCGGCTTATCATTTATTTTAATAGCTTCCAAATAACCATGCTATTCTTTCAGATGGAATGAAATATATATTCTTGATTAATTAGGTGTGCTTTTTTCTTTTTAATTCAAATTTGGGGGCAAACTCCATACTAATGATGTTGTCTCCCGACCTGTGAAAAGCAGGTGCCAAGACAGGAGTAAAATGGGATGAAGCGTGCTAGGGCTTGATGAGGGGACAAGCCTGTGCGAGAAAATGGGGAGGGATCCAGCAGAGCCTGGGAGGGCTGTTTGCCTGCATTGTGGGTGTGACCTTGAATGGAGGAGGGAAGGAAGGAAGGTAAAGTAGATGAGTCCTAGAGCTCTGTGTCAAGGAGGTCTGGGACCTAAGGAACCCCAGTGCCACACAGTCCGTGGCTGGTGGCCCCTCTGGAGGGCATGGCCTTGGGGTGTGAGCCTGCTCCTAGAGTGGAGGATGGTGTGGTGCTTTCTCCCAGCAGCCCCGCTAATCAGCTAGGCTTAGCCATGACCTTAAGGTTCATTTGGTTTACCACCCGGCTAGTATGCCCTGTGCACTCCTTGTAATGATCTAAATCTATATCTGCACTCATATCTATGTCTTATCTGTTCCTTTGTGTATATCTGTCTCTCTATATCTCTAAATCTATATCTGCACTCATATCTATGTCTTATCTGTTCCTTTGTGTATATCTGTCTCTCTATATCTCTAAATCTATATCATCTCTATCTGTATCCGTCTCTATCTGTGTATATTGATTTCTACCAAGGACAGCTGTTTAAAGAAGGGCCATGATACTATTTAAACATTGCACAAATAGTGCATTATGGTAGGGGAAGACTCGCATTTTTAAAGGAAGCCCTGGCTGATGTGTTATGAATATCAAAATGTATATTTTAACCTGAGATGAATTCGTAGCTTTGTTTGCTGAAATCTTTACTAACAGAATTCAAGGATTTGGAACTCTGAACACAAACTCAAGTAATGGAAATCTTTGTACATAAAGTAAAAGGGACTGTAGCTAGAGTACTTGGCTTAAAGCAAACAAATGTACAAACTATTGATAACTCTTGCCATCCTGTTTTGGCAGAGGTGAGGTGAGGGGGTCTCTGAAATATGTCTTCCTATCTTTCCGCCTCTTCCCTGTAAGTTTTTTTTTTAAGATTTTTTTATTTGTTTCATTTGACAGAGAGAGACACAGTGAGAGAGGGAACACAAGCAGGGGGAGTGGGGAAGGGAGAAGCAGGCTTCCCGCCGAGCAGGGAGCCCGATGTGGGGATTGATCCCAGGGCCCTGGGATCATGACCTGAGCCGAAGGTAGACGCTTAACCGACTGAGCCACCCAGGAGCCCCGTTTTTTTTTTTTTTTAAATCGGCCACTCTTCTTGTCCTCTGTAACTGTGGGTGCCCCATGGATCTAGACTCTCTTCATTTCTTTCACGGCATTCTTAACTGTCTGAACCCTTCTTCCTAACAGTAAAAGGTTTTGTTTTAAGAAGGGTAGGTGGAGGTTTGTTCTATCTCTTGCCACTCCAAAGGAGTTTGGGTTTTTCTTGCTCCTTCTGACCTATAAAGTTCTTCCCAGGGTCTTTTGTAGCAAGTTGAGTCTTGAGCATCACCTCCCACTGGACCCCGAAGATCTAGGAGGAGCTTCAGTCTGTGACCAGGCTTCCAATGGATTCACCAAAGCAGCTTTACCCAACCTGGGCCCCGGGATCATCTCAGATGCCCAGTGAAGAGAATTCCCAGGAAGGTTCAGCTGCCTCTCAAACTGTCTCCGAAGTATTAATAAAGAACCTCAGTAAATTGACTCTCGACCCCAGTATCAAACTCCCTTCCCCTCTACCAGAATACCCATCCCAACAGCAGGGCAGAGAGAAGAAACCACAGGGGCTGGTTGAGCGCAACCTCAGCAGCAGGAGGAGGACTGGAGTAAGGACTTTGGTAACTGCTCGGAAAGAAAGGATGGCAAGGATGATGCGACTGATTCAGTACCAGCGCTACCTCAGCCCGGGGCCCCAGCTTCAAAAAGATCTACAGCAGAAGGAAGCTGAGGAGGGTGAATCAAGAGTGGAAAGATGTAGACGTAGCCGTCATCACTGCCTGTATCATAAAGATCTTTCTGAGGACACCAGCATGGAGAATAATTATGACACAGAGCCTATGTAAACATAAACTTTATTCTTGTATGGTTTCTTCTTAACTAGTGATTTTAGGATCATTTTGCAGCAGCTTGGGAAAGCTGCTCTATGTTAGGGCAAACTATAATATTTTGGTAATCTATGATATTATGTGTCTATCTATAATCTATGGTATTTGTATCTTTTCTACCTTCATACCAATAATTTGTGAGGAATCCTGTAGTTTGCATTTGAATGACTTCAGTGTACGTCCACCTTCTGATTTGACCTAAGGAAGCACTAATAGGTTTTGAGTGTTGCCTGTGTGTTTGAGAGGCCTGAAGTCATTAAGACAAGACCTAACCTCAAAAATTGGAAGCCAAGTAACTTGTGCAGAAGGAATACACAGAAAACTTTGGGTGGTTTGGTTAGAGCATGATTAGGGCAGATGTGTATGCTAGATTTTGTGGTTTTCAAAAATTGTAATAAAATTTTTTTGTGCTATTTCAATTTTCAGTAGCAAATGTGTGTGTAGAGGATTTTATTAAAATTGACTTATTTGGAAAAAAAAAAGAAGGGTAGGCATTTAGAATGTCACCCCAGCTTTGTTCACACATAAATGCCCCCTGCTTTGAAGAGAACGGTAGGAGTATGGGCTTGTTAAAGGCATATGGTGTTTTGATCATCTTTTTGTTTGTTTCGATCATCTTAAAATTGTCCAAAAATTCTCCCCTACCCTCAGCACAAACATTATCCAAGTAAGTTCTGCACTGCTGTCAGTTAGAGATCTTTTCATCTGTAGTCATGGAGAGTAAGGGGCCCTTCTGCACCCGACGTTTGAGACTCAGTATTCCTTACTATAGTAGCTTACATAGCTGGTTTTCTTTTGGAAATAAAATTCTCAGGCTGTGGAACTGTAAATTCTATTTATTACTTGACAGATTATTTTTTTTAATAGACAGGTTTCTGTACTACTTTTCAGTAATACTGACTATAGACAATAGGAATTTTTAAAGTTTTTTGGGGGGGTCTGGGGTTTTTATTGGTGATCATGGTCTGGGGCACATGTCCTCTGAAGCATCCAGGCACTAACCGGTCAGAACAAAGACAGGGTCCAGGTGTCCTTCATAAGTCACTCATTCCCTTAAGTCAGGGGTCTTGGCATCAAGGTGTTTGGAGTCAGTGGTCTTGGAGGATGTTTATGACTGGAATTTTTGAAATTATGAGTATTTTCTCTTGTTTTGAATAGACTTGATTATTGATCATTTTTTCAGTAGTGCTTAAATTTGGATTTCAACTCCTGGCTAATATTTAGTCATCACCAGTCTTTTTACTAGGGTACAGGCATGTTGGTGTTATTCATACTTTAAAATAGCCTTCTAGCTCTTATGGCGATTAATGTCAGTGTGGTGACAGTTCTGGATATATGTGAAGGTATCATTCGTACCTAATGTGATTAATGCCAGTGGGATAATTTTTCTCCTGAACATATGTGTAAAGGTGAAATTAATGCCTAACGCGTTTTTCTTTCTTTCCTAAACTATAGACCCGGATGTAGCCTTTGTACCTCTAGGAATGACAGATTATTTAGTCATCGTGGAGGATGATGATTCTGCCATCATACCTTGTCGCACAACTGATCCCGAGACCCCGGTCACCTTGCGCAGCAATGACGGGGTGGTGCATGCCTCCTATGACAGCAGACAGGGCTTTAATGGGACCTTCAGCGTTGGGCCCTATATCTGCGAAGCCACCGTCAGAGGGAAGAAGTTCCAGACCATCCCATTTAATGTTTATGCTTTAAAAGGTACTTATACCTTCTCTCTCCTTCTTTAAAGAGTTAAAGGCAAAATAACTAAATGTATACAGGATTTTTTTTTTAAACTATCGTCCCTGGTGATGGAGACCCTGAATATTTGGGGATTTAGGACCCCACCTTTACCATACAATGTTAGGCTGCCCTCTGTGGCTGTAATAATATTAAGCTTAGCACTACTAAAAACAAATGCTTTACCCCTTGTAAGATTTTCATATTTCATCAGTTGACTTCGAAATACTGTAAGGAATTCTTTTCTCGCATAAGCCTCTTACTGTTATACCCACATTCCTGACTACAGAGGCCCTAAAAACAAACACACACCTGTGGGGGTTGGATGCCTAGATTAACTTCAGTAACTTAAGAAAAGTGATTTTGATTTTGAGCAAAGCTTGTTGCTACAGCCCTCCCTTTGATGTGAGTGGTTCATGTGAATGGGAAAGGATAATGCGTGTTTGGGGTCAGCAGAATGCCACTGAACGCTGGGTAAGGGCTTCTTTTATGCCGGCACTGTGCTTGGTTCTAGAAAAGCGCTGAGAATAGTTGGGCAGCAGGGTGGGAGAGAGAAGGAGAGAAATGGGTAGGGGAGGAGCAAAGTGCCCAGAGCAGTGCTGGTCAGAAAAGGCTGGTTGATTAAATGAATAAATACATCTATAAAGGTGGTTGCAGAAGAGGAGAGCCATCCTTAACCCAAATGCTCAGGAATGTGGTGTTCTGTTTGATTGGAATTTAGTTTTACTCTTGTTCCTATTTTGTGTGTAGGTGTTTGTAGGTATGTGTGTGTGTTATTTTATAATGATGTGCCAAATTATGTATGCCAACACAAAATCGAAGCTTCTGAGACTTCAAAAATTTTGTCTTGATCACAGTGGTTTGAAAATTATTTTTCTTGGGCCAGCTTGGTGGGCTCAGTTGGTTAAGCATCTGACTCTTGACTTGGGCTCAGGTCATGATCTCAGGGTTGTGAGATTGAGCCCTGAGTTGGGGCTTAAGATTCTCGCTCTTCCTCTTCCTCTGCCCACCCCCCCAACAAAAACAAACAAAAAGCTTACAAAGAAAAGAAAACTATTTTTCAGGATTTTAAAAAAGAAAGCAAACCCAAACCTTATAAGGTTCTAACTATGCTGTGGATAATGAGGTCCTTGTGTTTGTTCTTCTTTTAAATAGCAACATCAGAACTTGATCTAGAAATGGAAGCTCTTAAAACTGTGTATAAGTCAGGGGAGACAATTGTGGTCACCTGCGCCGTCTTTAACAATGAGGTGGTCGACCTTCAGTGGACTTACCCTGGAGAAGTGGTAGGTACCTGCAAGGCTCCTGGTGGCATGGAGCGGAGCACAGCAGGGCTCAGAAGACCTGTCACTGACGGGGCATGACACCGATCTCCAGACTTCAGCTTCCCATCTCTGCAGTGAACCCATTTGACTAGATCACTTTATGGCTCGTTGGGCAATGGGGGAGGTTGAGATGCTAGCTGGACCAGGACCTTCAGAATCTATAAAGGTTGTACACTGAGCCTTCTTTTTCATAAGTAAGAAAGAAATAGGAAGGTTCTATACATACGGCTCTATCTATCTATCTATCTATCTATCTATCTATCTATCTATCTATCTAATTCCCCTTCACTCCTGATTTGCAAATTTCTGCTCCCTACTCTTTTTTGGCATTTGATAGCTTCTCTCCTTTTATCCATTTTTCTCCCCTGTGCTTTTGCTTCCCCTCTTCCTGTCTCTCCAGGGCATTGATTGGAAGTTGTGCATTTTCATATATGACATTATGACCTCATGCATTGAAGAGACATTCATAATCTGATATGTGTTACATCTTCCCGGGATATGAGGCAGTTTGATTTTACTGTTCATACTTGATTACCCTAATCCTTAAAGCATAAACATTTCTTCTCATTTGTTGGAGATAGACATTTTCCCCCCAAACCATAGTACATGCTATTTGGCCCAAAAATATATAATCTAAGTATTGTTTTATAAAACAAAGTTTTCATCAGATAATAAAAATAATACAGGTTTATCATCATAATGTTATCAAATTTAGAGAAACAGAGGAAAAGCCACTTCCCAGGACATCACCATTAATATTCTAGGAAGATAAATCCTTTCAATACTTTGTATACAAAATAAATGTAATCATTAATAGATATTATACTTTAAATAGTACTTTGTCACATCATTTTTCCTCTGGCAGTATATCACAAACACCTTACTATGCCATTAAATATCCTTTTAAAACATGATTTTCTAAGGCACTAGCTTAAGAAAATTTTTTTATTAGACTATTTTTTAGAGCTGTTTTAGGTTCGTAGTGAAATTGAGTGGACGGTACAGAGATTTCCCATTAGCCTCTGCCCCGTGCATGCACAACTCCCCCCACCCCCTTACCAATAGCCCCGTGGGGTTGGCGGGGGGAGGACATTACAATCCAGGAATTTACATTAGCACCTCATCCCCACCCATGGTGTGTATGAGGGTTCACTCTCTGGAGCTAGCTTTTTAAAGTGGTTTTCCTCCCCTTCTGCTGTAGAAAGGCAAAGGCATCACCATGCTGGAGGAAATCAAGGTCCCGTCCATCAAATTGGTGTACACTCTGAGGGTCCCCGAGGCCACGGTGAAAGATAGTGGAGATTATGAATGTGCTGCCCGCCAGGCCACCAAGGAGGTCAAAGAGATGAAGAAAGTCACCATTTCTGTCCATGGTACATTCTGCTTTCTAAAATGTCAGTTGTCCCTGCTGCTCAGGATCCACCGTGTGGTAATCATTACTTAATGGAAACTCTTCCCTGTACAGAGAAAGGGTTCATTGAAATCAAACCCAACTTCAGCCCTTTGGAAGCTGTTGACTTACATGAAGTCAAACATTTTGTGGTGGACGTGCAGGCCTACCCCCCTCCCAGGATATCCTGGCTGAAGGACAACCTGACTCTGATTGAAAATCTCACGGAGATCACCACGGACATAGAAAGGATTCAGGAAATAAGGTAAAGAAACACCCTTCCCAAGTATGCATTTCTTTTTACTGTGTCTCTCTAGATAGACTGAGGTTTGTGCATGTCTTACAACACAAAACAAGACTCAATCTAGAAAATGAGAAGTCTGACACAGGAGATACTTGAAATCAAGTACCTTTAATGATAACGTTGCCATGTGCTAATACTGTGCTGATAAATATTTAATAATAAAATAACAAAAAAGAACTAAAGAGCTCTGTTCCCAATAAGATCATTTCCTGCATCCAGGAAGGGATGGAGGAAATGATGTAAAGTTGGACCCACTTGGATTGGATATATTCCATGACATCCACCATCTGTATGGCAAGTAGACATGTATGGTGACACCAGTTGCAAGGCAGTTATCACATAAACCTACATGAAGCAAAACATCATTGGTTTCATTTGAAACACATTTGCCCCAGGGAAGCCTCCACTGGAAATAAGAGTAGTGTCTGGTGAGATCCGGTTTAGAGAAAATGTACAACGACTAGTTTGGATCCCTGCCCTCTGATGAGATGGTCTAATGCTCTCATCTCTTAACAAGGGGTGGAGTAAGTCCCCTTGGCCTCAGTCTCCCCGTCTGTAACATAGGGTTAATGATACCTTACATCCTTCAAGGCAAGGAGTTAGATCAGATGATATCTTGAGGTCTCTTGCAATTATAAGCTCTGATTTGAATCCCAGAGCAGAAGGTACATCTTGCACCAAGTACTCCGGCCCTGCGCCCTCATCAGAAACCATCCCAGAGAGACATACGTCAGTCCTCTATTTCTAGCCTTCAGGGAAGAGGGGCAGACCCTCTCTCATCGGTTCACTTAACCTCGGGATTTGCTTTCTTCTTTCTGAGCTAAATCCCGTGTGTCATTGAGAAGTAGTATCTGAGAAAATGGCATTTTACAGCCTCTGGAGAACAGGGATGGAAAAAGTGTTGAGTGCTGAATCTGGAGGGATTTTCTGATGACAGGGGATGAAGGTGGGCCAAGAGGTGGGCAGTGGCAAACCTTCCATTAGGCTGTGAGGCCCGAGAGGAATGAGGTAATCCTGCACACCGAACACTTGGGACACTTGTAGGAGCGCGGTACGCAGGCCATAATCGACGGTCATGACAAGAGGAAGCTCACCAATGGAGAGGTTCAGGAAAGCCTCCTGTGAAAGTGATTCAGGAGTTCCTCTAGCACAGATTTGCCTCATTCCCACTGTGGGCAAGGGAACACAAGGGTGAATACGCCAGATGGGGGATGTGGCTTCCTGAAGCTTACACCTGTGGCTCCACCAGTTTCCTTGGCTGAGCGAGTGGAGACAATGAATGACAGACGATCGTGTGGTGACCAGTAGCCAGCAGTACCTACGGGGACTCGCTAAGAAAGCCCTGGTCTGGAGCACGTCCAGTGAGTGTAGTGCCAGCAGAGGACAAACCAGCCCATGGTGGCCCCATTACCGGTGCTGGTGCCCGGCATTTTAGGCTAGAAGACTCTACATGTACAGCGTACTTTGGGCCCTCAAAATCCTTCCACACATATAATTTCATTTAATTAATTCTGGAAAGGGCCCTGTGCTATTGCATACGGTTATCCCACGCTACACAGAAGGACGCTGAGGCGTGGAGAATTTCAGGGATGCCCGAGCTCGTCTCGCTTTGTGACCAGCTCTCTTCCCATCCATCCCGTGGCTTTTTGGCACTGTGATGCTTTACATGTTTACTTATTTATTTAAAGATTTATTTATTTATTTATTTATTTATTTATTTATTTATTTGACAGAGAGAGAGAGAGCATAAGCAGGGGGAGCGGCAGAGGGAGAAACAGGCTTCCCGATGAGCAGGGAGCCTGATGTGGGGCTCGATCCCAGGACCCTGGGATCATGACCGGAGCCGAAGGCAGACGCTTAACGACTGAGCCACCCAGGCACCCCTGTGATGTTTATAAAGAAGGTCAATCAAATGGGCAAATACTGTATTGATGAACCCATACAAACACACAGAGCCAAATGTCACTTATAACACATGGAAGAAATCTTTAGGGGAATCTTCCCTTTAATAAAGTATGAAGAAATAGATTTTTCTAATTTATTTTTTTAAGAGGTGACGGAATCTTGTGCTTTATTAGTATTTAAGCATTAAGAAGGTGCTTTGTAGGAAGCCTTGCTCCATTCCTGCCGCCATTTGCCCCGGCTCCCTGCCTCCCCCGGCAGAGGGAAATACTTTTATTAGTTTCATTAGGTTCTTCTGAAACCTTCCAGAGTTTCTTTAAGCAAATACCAACAAGTAGGAATGTCATCCTGGAGACCTCTCCATGTCAGTGTGTAGACTGTGTCCTGTTGCTTGTCTCAGGATGTCTGGGCTTCTGTTTAAGAATTAAGTGTCTGTAAGTCAGACCTTCACTGTGTAGAAAGGGCACAGAAAATTCCCGAAAAGTGAAGATATGGACAAGAAAACAAAGACGTTTTTGCTTTTTACAACAACAAACTTTAAAGTGAACATGGCACCTGTTGGAACGGTTGGCATCTGTTTGGCTATGACTGGCTGACACAAAGTCCTTTTCGTTTCAGGTATCGGAGCAAATTAAAGCTGATCCGCGCTAAGGAGGAAGACAGTGGCCATTACACGATTGTCGTTCAAAATGAAGACGATGTGAAGAGCTATACTTTCGAACTCTTAACTCAAGGTGAATCAGGCAGTAGAAGGATAATGTTAGCTCCGTGACGGAGTGAACGAGTGTCCCCCAAGGAGAGCCTGGCACTTTTCTCCTCCGGGGGTGGAGAGAAAAGCAACACTTTATGGGAGAAGTAGCTGATGAAGGCGTCACCTGTCAGGGAGAGCTTTGTTGGGCTATGAATTCACACAATTCTGGGAAGTCCAGGCTGCTCTGAAACAGCCTGGGGAATTCCTAGCTTACAGCACCACCTGCTTCTCAGTCTGGCACCTCCAGTTCTTGGAAGAGTAAAGTGATGCATTTTGGTCCAGATGACCTTAGGTTGTTCCAGAGAGTTTTGGCCTTTTCGTTTAGCTTCCCTCAAGGCATTGCACAGTGGCCCTTACCAGGAGGGAGTGCCTCGGTCTATTCACATTCAGGTCCAGCCCCTGTTCACTGGGTACCTACCATGTGCCTGGGACTGTGTTTGGGGACTCAGTTGACCCTCACAGTAAATCTGTGATATAAGTATTAACATATTTCTAATTTATTTGATCATGGATTAAAAAAAATCTTTTAAACCTAGTGACATTCCACAGATGCACTTTGGTAAATGCTGCTTTAGATTATACTCTAGCTGAATCCATTAGTTGAACCCCAAGCCGTAATACAATTTTAAGAGCCTCCTTGCCTTTCGAGCCAAATAACCACAGGGGCTTTTTACTTTTCTCACTCCAGATTGAGAACACCACAGGATACAAATCCCTAAACACTGAAACTGTGAAAATGCTCTTAACCAAGTGGGTCTACTCAAAGTGGAGCATTATGATTATGCACATAATTGCTTTCAGCCCCTTCTTGGGTGGTTACTTGCTTGGCAGGTCCGAATGCGACGTGGACAATTTCTGAACCTGAATTCTGTGAACCGTGGCTCACGGGAGTTCTGGGACCCAGACCATTCGATTCTGATCTCTTTTTACCTCTTGCAGTTCCCTCCTCTATTCTGGACTTGGTTGATGACCACCATGGCTCTACGGGAGGACAGACCGTGAGATGCACCGCTGAAGGGACGCCTCTTCCTGATATCGAGTGGATGATCTGCAAGGATATTAAGAAGTACGGAAACAAGAGGTTTCTTTCTCACTGGTGGTCAGAATGTTGATTCCTTGATACAAAGAACTTCAGATGCATTTGCTTTCTTTGGCTGGCCCTTCTTTTGTATTTGTGATTCTCCCTGGGCCTAAGTCTCATAAACTACAGGATAGGGTCCTAAGCACGGGCCTGGTGTGCACGCGTGCATGGTATGCGTGCCTGGGCACCCATGTGGTCATGAAGAGCTGTAAGGAGAAGGTCCCTGGCTCTCACCAGATTCTCCAAGGGTGCCTAATCAGAAAAGAAGATGAATTTAAAGGGCCACAGGTCCAAGAGGATTTTTACTCCCCTGGCCCACTCCACCTTATATTTCTTACAGGGTGAACTTTTTTTGGTAGCTAGATTGGCATGTGAACATAAATGACAGTGTTGCCCATGGTGACCGCTTGCTTCCTTTGCCTACCTGCTGTTTGGGGGGAGTTAACTCACCAGTTCCTCCTTTACCCCCCGATCTGTCCATCTTCTCTGATGGGCACTCGAGTGACATGCTCACGCTTCCACCCATGGTGACTGCTTGCATTCAGAAGCCTTGACTGTTTCTCTCGGAGGCTGAGACTCCTAGACCTTCCCCTTCTTAGGGGATCTTGATCTTGGATCTTGACTGGGGCTGGATCTAGGTCTCATTAACTCAGCCAGGGGATCACTCCAACCCTAGTGACACCTGAGGGGCTCTTGACAGTGCAGGTGGGGAGAGAAGAAGGGGCCAGGCTTTTTCAAGGGGTGGGCAATTGGGATAGTTAAACATTCTTGAAGTGGGTCTGTTCAGTTGGCTCATGAGTTCAAGCCCTGGGATTGGTAGTTATATTTGATGGAACTTATTTCTACCTTGCGTGCTTCATAAACAGTTAACTTTCAATTATCCACATACAGGTTATCCTCTTTTGGGTCTGTGCAAAACAAGTTTCAGTGTTATTAATAAGCACATAAAATATGAAAGTCCACCTGTAGCACCCCCAAATGTAGGCAAGGTCAGAGCTGCTTGCCACCATAGGTGATTCTCACTGCTTTGCTCACCTCCATTATCCTGATAACTGGCTCTGTATTTATGTTCTTTTTCTCTCCAGGTGTAATAATGAAACTTCATGGGCGATTTTGGCCAACAATATCTCAAACATTATCACGGAGGTCCACCCCCGAGACAGGAGTACTGTGGAGGGCCGAGTGACATTCACCAGGGTGGAGGAGACCATCGCCGTTCGATGTCTGGCCAAGAATCTCCTTGGGGCCGAGAGCCGAGAGCTGAAGCTGGTGGCCCCCAGTGAGTTGCTTTAGTCATCAGCCAACCCCTTCCTCCTTCATGCAGAACTTTGAATCCCAGATGGGGTCCAAAAGGAATGGTGGTCCCAAGGCAGAAATTCAGCTCTGAATGCTCTTAAAGGGCCTTCTCCGGGCATCCACATGGGAGCCCTTTCTTTCGGATTCTGACCCCCAATAGCACCTTGCAGAGGCATCCTGCTTGTCTAGCAGGATAGCTACTCCATCTCTGTAGTCTGAGTGTGGGGATGGAAGATGGGGAAGGAGGATCTTCTGCCTTGTTGCTCCTTACAACTGTCGAGACAGGTTGAATTCTTTAAAAAAAAAAAAAAAAAGTAACAAAGCCCCAAGTAGAACGTAAACAAAATGCCACCTTTCAAAATAAACTGAACTTACGTGACTTTCAATCTCATTTATCAGTCTTTGTATTCCAGTCCACATTCTGTCTGGAAGGTTAAATGATGCGGTACCTTTGGAGCCAAATTGCATTCCCCTGATTGAATTTTGTCCCCTTTCTCTTCTAAGGGAAGAGCTGGAGTAGGTTCATGTATGTAGATGATCGAGAGATGGTATCGCCCATCCTGAAAATGAGCCAGGCAGCCTTGATGCTTTTCCACCAGCAGTGAGAGATTTCTGGCCCAAACACAACCACATCGCCTTCCCACCCTCCTGCGTGTTTGTGCAAATTCTTCCTCATGCGTCTTTCTTCTTCAGCGCTGCGTTCTGAACTCACCGTCGCCGCTGCGGTCCTCGTGCTGTTGGTGATTGTGATCATCTCACTTATTGTCCTGGTTGTCATTTGGAAACAGGTAGGTATTTTTCCCAAAGAACTAAAAACCTTTGAAGCCAGTAAGAACAAGAAGAGTAGCTTAGTTCAGCGCGTGGCACGGAGAAGGAGCTCAGTAATTATGTGTTGAAGGAATGTGGTTGATCCTGCTGTGTCTGGTCACTTTGCTGCCATTAAGCTTTGGTGCATCTGGGCTTTCGTAATTCACTAGTTACCTGTCCTGGTCATTCGTAGAAACCGAGGTATGAAATTCGCTGGAGGGTCATTGAATCCATCAGCCCTGATGGACATGAATATATTTACGTGGACCCAATGCAGCTGCCTTATGACTCAAGATGGGAGTTTCCAAGGGATGGACTCGTGCTTGGTAAGCGCCTCCTGGGGTGATCTCCCAAGACTCCCCTTTGATTGGGACATAACTACTTTTTATAGCCTTGTGCAGGAATAAGGGATCTGAGCTTGTGCTTGGTAAGAGCTAGGCAATAGAAATTGGCTTTCAGAAGTATTTTTCTGTCTTGAAAATGAGTTAATTGCATCACTGCAGTGGTTTTTTAAAAAATCTCGTTCCAGGGGCGCCTGGGTGGCTCAGTCAGTTAAGCGTCTGTCTTCGGCTCAGGCCATGATCTCGGGGTCCTGGGATCGAGTCCCACATCGGGCTCTGCCCTCAGCGGGGAGTCTGCTTGTCCCTCTGCCCCTCCCCCACCCCGCTCGTGCTCTCTCTCACTCTCAAATAAATAAAATCTTAAAAAAATAAAAACATAAAAAAATAAAAATCTTGTTCTATAGCAAATTATGGTTAAAGAAAATTTTACAAGAGGAGAAGAGAATGTGAGGAGGTCCTGCCAAAGAGACTCATCGAGATGACTTTGCTTTGGGAGTCACACAAATTGATGGGATGAATTTCTGTGACTGAAAAGGAACAGATGAGATTTGAATGAGGACAACCACAAAGGGGTATTTTAAACTAGTCCATTCTGAGGATGTATTAGATACTTCTTTAGAGTATGTATATTTAGAATATAGAATATAAAAATATAGGTACTTTTCAAAGCAAAACATGTAAAAATAATCAAGTCAACTTATCACAAGCTTTTCACATATTTCAATCTTAGGCTGAGACCGAGTACATGAAGCTTTAGTTCAAGGAATTTTTTTTTTTTAAATCACATTCTGAATGAATGAAAACAGGACAAAGACACAAAGCAGATGAACATAGGGGAAGGGAAGGGAAAATGAAATAAGATAAAAACAGAGAAAGAGGCAAACCATAAGAGACTATTAACTATAAGGAAAAAACTGAAGGTGGCTACAGGGGAGGTGAGTGGGGGGATGGGGTAACTGGGTGATGGGCATTAAGGAGGGCACTTGATGTAATGAGCACTGGGTGTTATTTGCAACTGAGGAATCACTAAATTCTACCCCTGAAACTAATAATATGCTATATGTTAACTAAATTGAATTTAAATAAAAAATAAAAAAAGACAAGTGAAAGTTAGAGCTAGAGGTCGTGTCACTGGGAGTACGCTAACCATGTGTGCTTTGGAGGATGCCGGAGGCAGTGTTTAATGATCCACTTGTCTCATTCAAAAATACAAGGTTAGGTTTTCTTAAAGAGTTACTTAAACTGAAATCAAACAGGATGTCGTATCTACTTCCAATTTCAACTACTTGTACCTGGAAGAGAAGTTTTCTTTATCATCTCTCCCCACAACCAATCCCACCCCTACTCCCCTCCCCCAACCCCCAGTTTTACCAAAAGAGCTGAGGAACTTAAGGTAGTAAAATGGGGGGGGGAAGGGCAACATCCCTAATATGCTAAGAGGCATTTCTGTGTCTCTCCGCTCCTGTGTGTTCCCCTAAGGCAGCCATACCTTTCCAAGTGCAGTTTCTCACAATGCAAACATGCAAACATGCACTGCTGGCTGTTAGTCCCTTATGAGCCAAGTCTCTCCCCCTCAAACCCTCCCCCCCCCCCCCCCCCCCGCTGCCCTGGCTTGTTTCAGCGTGGTGAGACTGATACTCGGGGACGCATTCCTTTTAGATTTGTGGGGACGGCAGCTTCCATTTCTTTATGTCGCTTCCAGCATGGAGTCAAGCGTGTGCTCCCGCTGGGCGCCGTTAGCCTCTGACGGTCCTGGCCCTTCCTATAAGCAGGCAGCAAGGACAGCAGCCCGAAGTTCACTTCGTCACGCCTCGGAATCAGTGATGTCTCGAATACCGAAGTATTTCCAGTGGATAAGGACTTATTGATGCAAAAGATGCCTCTGTTTGCATGTGGAGAACAGAAGGGTAGAGAAGCAGGGGGTTTGGGCGAGAGCCACAGGAAACAAGGGCCTCGGAGCCTGCGGTCTGGCCCAGCACTGGAGCTGGGAGACAGAATGTTCACACCAGGGAAGGATGCACCCTTCTTACTCCTGCCTGTGGTTCCCTTCCCCTTACAGATGTTATTTGACAAAAGCAATTGTACTGATTTCCTTTCCTGTGGGCTCTGTTCTGGTCTTGATGTGCTGACTTGCAGGAATCATGAGGCTTACTCCATTCTGAAAGAACAGCCCCCACTGGGCGCCCGCACATGCTGGCTGTGGTGCATAAAACCGAGGGGAGGAAGCCCCAGTCTGCCTGTGTTAATGGTTCTGATTGCTCACAGGTCGTATCCTGGGATCTGGTGCGTTTGGGAAAGTGGTTGAAGGAACTGCCTATGGGTTAAGCCGCTCCCAGCCTGTCATGAAAGTGGCAGTGAAGATGCTAAAACGTAAGTGCCCTTTCCTGGGTTTTTGAAAATAGAGGTTAGTCAGGTGAATTGCTCAAAATCACACAGCCAGTACATGCCAGATTTAGGACCAGAGCTTTCGATTCTAGGTTTTGTGTGTATTTAGGCTCTTTTCTCAGTCACGTTATTTATTCTCATTGCCTGTATGTTGGAAAGTCAAGAGTTGTTATTTTTGGTGACTTCTTTTTACCCCCAAGACTAGGCACTAGTTAGTAGAGTCTAGACCAGGTCACTCTGTGTTTCTCTTTAAGGCTCTTGGTAAATGAAATGATATCCCATCATAGGATTAGCCATGTCATTGGCTTTGTGTGAGGGGAAATCACTTGAACTGATACGTGATTTATTTCTTCAACAGCCACAGCCAGATCCAGTGAGAAACAAGCTCTCATGTCGGAACTGAAGATAATGACTCACCTGGGGCCGCATTTAAACATTGTGAACTTGCTGGGAGCCTGTACCAAGTCAGGTAGGCTTCCTGACCTGGGAGTGAGGATTTTCACAGAAGACCTGTAGTTGTGAAGACTGTCCAGGCTTTTTTAAAGTGCTTCCTGTCTACCTCCAAACATGCCAGCAACTCTAAGTCCCTTGAACGGAGTTGCCTGGCTTCCACTGAATTGTCGGAAGCTCCTCGTTTTTGAGCACCACCTCCTGTCTGTGCAAACATCGCATTTCATGGCTTTTCTGTTCTTCGTGTTCATGCTCATTTCTTTTTTTTTTTTTAAAGATTTATTTATTTATTTATTTATTTATTTGACAGAGAGAGACACAGCGAGAGAGGGAACACAAGCAGGGGGAGTGGGAGAGGGAGAAGCAGGCTTCCTGCTGAGCAGGGAGCCCAATGCAGGGCTTGATCCCACGACCCTGGGACCATGACCTGAGTTGAAGGCAGACGCTTAGTGGCTGAGCCACGCAGGTGCCTCTCATGCCCATTTCTTAACTGGTTTTGGTTTCCGCAGGCCCTATTTACATCATCACCGAGTACTGCTTCTATGGGGATTTGGTCAACTATTTGCATAAGAATAGGGATAGCTTCCTGAGCCGCCACCCGGAGAAGCCAAAGGAAGAGCTGGACATTTTCGGATTGAACCCTGCCGATGACAGCACACGGAGGTGGGTGCAGAGGGACACGCTGCTGTGAGTCGTTGGCTTACAAGCCTCACCAGTGGAGAGAGCCCGTGTCTGCATAGAATCCATGTCTGCAGACCCCGTGCCATCAGGCAGCAAGACTTAGAATCCCCCAGCCTACCCTGTCGTCCCCTGATGCAGCCGGGACACACCTGCCCGCAGGTGTTTGGGACCAGATATCACATGGGGAGGCCTTGCCAAGAGGTTTGAACGGAGGCAAGAGTTGGAGTCATCCTGGGAACCATTTTGCTGTTAAAGTGTGGTCTGCTTGAGACCTGTAAGTTGCGGCTCTGGCCAGGGATGCCTCCCTGCTGGTATCTTGTGAGAAACTGCCTGAGGACCTCCAAGTTTGAGATTCTGCTCCTTGCGGACCCTGGGCCTAGAAATCAAGCCAGTGGTAGTAATCCCAACTGCGGGAACCTACAAGTAGCTACAGAGGTCTGGGTGGCTTTAAAGTTCTGTAAGATCAGAAAGTGCAAGTTCACTTTATATTGAATTCCTCAATGGACACCACATTGGCACTGAAATTATTGAGGAGCAGGAAACATCTGGCCACGTGGTCGTGTGGCCCAGGGTTTGTGGCCCGTGAGTTGAAAAACAGAGCAAGAATAAAGACAGACACACCTGAGTTGAGATGACCCGGGTATTTGTGTGATTATTGATAAATGCTCATCTCACCTTCCAGGCTGCCCCACGTGGAAGGTGCACATTGGTTTTGCTTTTGCTCACCCCCCTGGCTAGCCCCATACCTGCTGCACCGCCTTGCATACGTGGGCCCCTGCTCATCATCTACTGAAGGTAGAATGACCACTCCAAAGGGGCACCCTGAATAAGGTTTCTTTTTCTTTTGTTACAGTTATGTTATTTTATCTTTTGAAAACAATGGTGACTACATGGACATGAAGCAAGCTGACACCACACAGTACGTCCCCATGCTGGAAAGGAAAGAGGTTTCTAAATACTCGGACATCCAGAGATCGCTGTATGACCGCCCAGCCTCGTATAAGAAGAAATCTATGTTAGGTAAAACTGTCACTGTCCACTCTCTGCATCTGCCAGTGGTTTAGTATGATACAGATTTCCCCTGCTCTCCGAAAGTTGGGTTTCTGCCACTCTTTGATGAAAGATCTACATTAGTACTTGTTCTCACTCACTGAAAGAAGTCCGAAAAGGATTTTGGTTTTTACGAAATAGTAAGTGCTTCTTTGCTTTACACCGTTTTGGCTTACACAGGAGTTCATAGGAATGCTCTACTTTCAGATAGTGGTGGAAACCTGTACTTAAAATACTCAGAGGAAGGAGCGCCAGGGTGCCTTGGTCAGTTAAGCCTCTGACTCTTGATCTCAGCCCCGGCCTTGATCTCAGGGCCGTGAGTTCAAGCCCCGTGTTGGGCTCCATGCTGGGCATGGAGACTACTTAAAAAAAAAAAAAAAAACAAAACTCAGAGGAAGGTGAGCAGGCACGGTGAGCAGAACTGCCAGCCTGTGGTCCCTAACTGCGTGTCTGCACAACTGTATCTGTGACGTGTTTTCAGAAGTTTGTGGCCTGTGAATTGAAAAGAAGAAAAAGAATAAAGACTTAATGCAACGCATTTTCACACTTTAAATGTAATCCTTTTAAAGAATGGTTTATCCTGATATACTTATCTTCCTTTTTTGGTGTTAATGTGTCTTTTTTTTTTTAATGCAAGTATGGTGATCACTGTTTTTTTTTTTTTTTTTTCCCTTATTGGGGGATAAAAATTAAGTGCCCTTATTGGCAAAATTAAAAGTTGGCTATCTTCTATTGGTTCCTAATATTTTTTTCAAAATTTTAATTCTATAAGTCTCTGGTATCTAGGAGTTCAGTAGCCCTTGCTTTTGGCTTTGTAAATATCCACTTTGTGATAGAAACTGGAAAGTAGACAATTGGAGGTCGTGTTTTTCTGACAAGAGTGTTAGGTGTTTCTACTGAATATTGTTTGAAGGAAGATCTGTCTGCTCTTTCAAAACAGATGAACATGTGGCAGGATTGCATTGATTTATAAACTCCAGGGAGCCTAGCCGATGCCCAGAGCAGATGGACCACTCCACTTCTGCCAGGGTGGGGGTGGCCCTTCCAGGTTCTTCTCTAATCCCAGGCTTGGAGTGGGGAGGACACTACTATCGGGTCCGATGTTGACATGTCTTGTAATTTTGTGTTATTGGGCCTGAGCCCTCCCATTAGTCAATGCACAAAAGTGTTGAGCTGCCATGGAAATTATTTCTAAAATCACTGATATGCTCTGAATGCTTGCGGGGTTCTTAAGTGAAAGGTACAATCTGTTAAAAAAGAATGTGCTTGTTTTGCAAAGCTCGGTATATAAGAATATTTTCCATTGCTGCAGTTCCAAGTTCCATTCACTTCTCATTGCCAAATGGGTACACTTCCAAGCCCTTTTAAAAGATTAGCCAATGAGAGCTGTCGGAACCAGTGCTTCCTCTCCCCTCCCGTATTGTTAAAAATAGTTTACATTGCTTCCCAGGCTGGACCTGGCTCCAGATGTCAGGGGAACCTGATTCATGCTCAGCCCGGGCCCTGTTGGCAGGCGGACCACTGCTTTCTGGCCTTCTCCTAGCTGGCAGGAAAAATATGAATGGCTGCAACTACTCTTCACTTGCCTGAAAATTTTTAAAAAGAAATGAGAACTGCTGGCCTAGATTACCTCCTTCCTCGAAAACCCTGGGACCCTTCCAGATGGGACTAACTGGGGAAAGTGGACAAGTTACAAAAGGAACTAAAGGCAAAGTCCTTGGCACTGACCTATAAGATTGTTACCTCTAGTCTGACTGGGGCTGGATTTTATTCAGGAAATGAGCCAAACACTACGAAGGTGGCTTTAAAAAGAGGAAAAAAAAAAGGGAGGGGGGAATTCCTAGAAGCTACTTTTTCAAGGGGCCTTATGTATATTCATCATGGAAGATTTTGTGTGTATGTGTGTGTGTGTGCGCGTGTGTGTGCATGTATGTGTGTGTGTGTGTGTGTGTGTGTTAGAGGTGGCTGAGGTAACTTGCTAACTAAGGCTGAAAAAAGAAATTTGGGAGGCAAACAACAAGATATGTGTGAGAACCCACTAGACTGGTCCTTATGGATTTATATATATGTTTATAAACCAGAGAGATATTTCTGCAGATAGATTTCTTTTTAATGGTAGAACCTCTGCATGGCTTACATACCCACCCGTGAGGTCTGGAAATGCTATAGGAATGTAATTTTAGATCCGTTCTTTGGACAAGGCTGCGCAGCCTGACAAGTGGCTGCCCTGGGGGAGCGTCCCCGTGGGGGATGCTTCACACTGTCCTCTAGGGCCAACACACTTCATTCCTTTTCTGCAGACTCAGAAGTCAAAAACCTCCTTTCAGATGATAACTCAGAAGGCCTTACTTTGTTGGACTTGTTGAGCTTCACCTATCAAGTTGCACGAGGAATGGAATTTTTGGCTTCGAAAAATGTAAGTGCGTTCATGGAACAGAGTTCTCTGTGGATCCAGCCACAGGTCTGAGTGAGGTGAGCGTGGAAGATCTCGCTGGAAGAGTCCAGTAGCAATGGCTGCTTCTCTCTTCCTTTTCCCCCGAAGCGTAGTGGGGAGTCTGATATCATCAGGTATCTACTCTGCTCTAGAGCCTTCTCCCTCTTGGGGGTGGTTGGGAGGAGAGCCTGGAGGAGGCAAGCTCTCTGTGCCGGGACAGCCTCCCCAAGGCATGCCAGGCAGCTCCCAGTACCACCAGGAGGTGGTCAGTCTTGCAGGGGTGATGTTGTCTAGTGGCAGATGGACAGACTGTTGTTTCTTCCCTTTCGATGCAGTGTGTCCACCGGGACCTGGCTGCTCGAAATGTCCTCCTGGCGCAGGGGAAAATCGTGAAGATCTGTGACTTCGGCCTGGCCAGAGACATCATGCATGATTCAAACTACGTGTCCAAAGGCAGTGTATGTGCTCTCTCTGCTCACTTGACATGCTCACCTTTCCTCACTCAATCTCTAAAGCTACGTGTTGCTTCTGGCCACTCAGGGTCCATATTTTTAACGTGGAGTCCATGAAATTCAGGAATGGGCTCCAGGGAATCAGTATGAAAAGCATGAGCTCTGTAGCCAGGCTGCCTGGGCGTGAGTACTGGCTCCAGCACGTACTAGCGTGGAGCTTTGGGGCGAGTTACTTGACCATTCTGTACCTTGGTTTTCCCTATCAGTAGCAGTGACCGGATAACAGTACCTATCTCCTGGGTTTTCGTGGGTGATTCAGTGACTTTAATGTTAAATGCTTAGAACCGTGCCTAGTACATACGAGCACTCAGCAAGTGTTAGCTATTACTCGTCTGTGCCTCAGTACATGCATTCATTTCCAGAGAGAGCAACTCTGACTTCTACCAAATTTGCAAATGGAATATATGACCCCTAAAACTTAAGACCATTTGAGTGAATAGATCTTAGAGGCCCAATCTCCTGAAAGACTGTCATTCTAAATGAACCCTCGGACCATCCCACCGCTTCCACCTCTAAGCAGATGTGGTTGCTCAGTATTGCCACCTGTTGGTACAATTACAAATCACGCCACTGCACCCGTTGTGAGACCACTCGGGGCTGCTGCGTCCACCCACAGAAGGCCACTGCTCTGTGTCTAGGGTCCATGTGGTTTGTGTACTGCGTGGCCGTGATCTGGAGCTTTAGGCACCCCAAACAGATCAGTGGACGTTGGTGGAGTCGCTCTCTCGCCTGCTCAAGAAGCCGATGAATCTGTGATCTCGCCTGCCATTGTAGAGGGCCGAAGGATGCTAACATGGTCCCTTTATGTGGCGGCCTCAGCTTAGTGTTTGCACCGCAGCCGGCACCAGCCTCACAGAAGAGGCTTCCAGATTATGAAATGACAATTTCTTAAAGTTCAAAAATGTAATTGGTTCTCAGATCACTGGATCTGTTTTTAATTTTGTTCCTAGGAACACCTGCAAATAGGAGACAGGCCCATTCAGGGCTCTCACTCTTTGGGTAAACATTCAGGCTTAAATATTTTTGGATGTTATTCTTTGGGAGGACACAAGAGGCAACATCGACCATCCGTCCTTCATCAGATATTTATTGAGCACCCACTAGGTGCCAGGCACTCTTCTGAGTGTGGGGAGCGTAGTGCTGGACAAAAAAACACGAAGATTTTGTGGGCAAGGTTATTAGTGCAAGTTATTATTAGTCCACAGAGAACCCCTGCTATTTCTGCTGCTGTAGGTCATCAGTGGGTATGCTGGGTTTAATTTCCTCCGTCTCTCCATGCAGACCTTTCTCCCTGTGAAGTGGATGGCCCCTGAGAGCATCTTTGACAACCTCTACACCACGCTGAGTGACGTCTGGTCCTACGGCATTCTGCTCTGGGAGATCTTTTCCCTTGGTACGGACCTGACATCTCTGCTCATTCGGGTTGTTTTGCAACAACACGGGAAGGGAAGCACTGTTTTCCAAGCTCCAGAGTGTAGACGATGCTAAGATACCTGCTGTGAGTCAAGAGTGCGGCAGCTGATTTAAATCACGAATTGTGCACTTGTGGTGTCTGGTGTATCCCCATGTGCACTGAGCCGGGAGTCTTGGGGGGCTGCGCCCTCACCTCTGGCCTGTGCCCCCCGCTCCTTTGGGCTGTGCTTGGGTGACTTTCCCCCACTGCAAGTGTTCCTGAGGACACCCACTCCCCAGCTGCTTTCTCGCTGGGGACTTTGAGTTAAGTAGGTTCACCGGTGGAGAGTCACCTTTCCATCTCTTCATGGTGATCGACGCTCAGGTGAAAAGTAGTATGGCAGGCGAACGGGTGTGACTCACCTTCCCAGTCATATCTCTGGAGGAGGAGAGGAACCTCCTGGTCATTCAGGAGTCAGTCCCCAGGTACCCCCCTGTGCCGCCAGGTGAGGGCCCTGAGGGAGGAGTGATTCACGACCCTGACCTTAGTTCCTCTGGAGAGGTAAGACCTCCATGTAGCAATAAACCGTGTGCTGCTGATTTAAAATTGTCATGGAAGAGAAAGGGGAAGGGAGCCCTGCGGTCATTTTGGACGGCTTTAGACAGGAAACTAAGCTTCATCTGGCCTTGGCCATACACACTGAAATGTGTCCTGAATTCTGTAGGAAAGGGTTTCTTCTCTGCCTCATCTCCTTTTTTGATCGCAGTTCTCCCTGCGTGGATGTCACTGTGTGGATCATCCCAGTGTGTGGCTTGACTGAGTCTCATGGTCTATTAAAAGGAGAGAATTATCTAGGTATTTCAAGCCGCAGCTTTGACTTTTGCTCTCATTATTTGAACAGTTTTGGTGAAAATGATTTTTTTGCCTTCAATGGTTCAGAATTTCTCTTGCTTTTCTATTTTGCTTTATGTATGTAGATCCAATAGTCAGAAACATTGAAAAACACGTTCGTGCTTTTTCTAAAGATGTAGAGTTTTGTCTCAGGTGTCTGGACTTGACCAACATTAAGTACTGGTGACATTTATTTATTTATTTATTTTAAAGATTTATTTATTTATTTATTTGACAGAGAGAGAGAGAGACCCAGCGAGAGAGGGAACACAAGCAGGGGGAGCGGAAGAGGGAGAAGCAGGCTTCCCGCAGAGCAGGGAGCCCGATGCGGGGCTCGATCCCAGGACCCTGGGATCATGACCCGAGCCAAAGGCAGACTCTCAACGACTGAGCTACTCAGGCGCCCCAAGTCCTGGTTACATTTAAAATTTGAGGGGAACTCCTGGTTACATTTAAGATTTAGGGAAGCAAACTGTGAAGTCGAGGAGATAATAACACTTTATTGCCTTGAAAGAACCAGAACTTCAAGTGGGGATCCCCAGGTGTTTTCTGTAGGTTCTGTGTCACCCTGAGAGTTTCAGCAGTGTCCCACCCGCTGGGTAATCCTGGTTGTTTCCCTTGGTTTTCAGGCGGCACACCCTACCCTGGCATGATGGTGGATTCTACTTTCTACAATAAGATCAAGAGTGGGTACCGGATGGCCAAGCCTGACCACGCCACAAGCGAAGTGTGAGCCCCCTCCCCAACTTGTGGGCCTTGTGTTCATGCCCAGTGGGTCTGTGGGTTGTGGGGGGTGCCCTGACACCCCTCCCTATGCCCACTCTGAGTTCTGTGCTCCCGCAGCTACGAGATCATGGTGAAGTGCTGGCACAGCGAGCCGGAGAAGAGACCCTCCTTCTACCACCTGAGTGAGATTGTGGAGCATCTGCTGCCTGGACAGTATAAGAAGGTTTGTCTGGGCCCCTTAAAGATGGGTGGAAAGGAATGGGCAAAGGAAAGACGTCAATAGCTGGTAGCTCTGCGAGCGAGCAGCACCGTTCAACACTGTTTTAAAGGAACATTTTCAGAGGAGGAAAAAGATTGCTTGATCCAGTGGCCTGGGTTTCCTGGAGTGCTCCCCAGACCCCTGGTAGCAGTGGTGTCTGAAAACCCTCCCCTTTCCACAGGGCTCCCCTTTCATCTTAAGTGTGCAATACCTGTAAGCACTTTATTCTCCAGATATTTGAGTATCTGAAGCTACTGTGCAGTTAGAAGTCTCGGGGCATCCACAGCCTCATTTGCATACACTTAAATCCACGTGAAATTGGCTTTTACCAGCTGACTGGAAGGAACAACCTCAGCTGTTATCTGTGGCTCCAGCTGGTTTTTTTTGTGGGATAGGAAGCATTGTTCAGAGGAACAAATGTAATTTCATGGAACCAAGCAGGATACGTTAATGAATGAAACAACTTTCTGCTGAGATGCTGTGAAGGAACCCCAGACACAGTTGTATAATAAACTCCATTTCTGAGATTCAGATTAGTCGCCACGTAGAGTCTTCATAGTTGTTATTCTCAAAGAGGAGCAGCGTTAGGAGGTTGTGTGCTGAACTGGGAGTTAAATACTTTTGTCTGTTGATTATTTCACTGCCCATTACAACTCCTCGAAGTGAAGCAATGAGGAGGCAGAAGGAAATTATGGTAGGTCAGTCAGAGGAGTTCTGGCTGGGTTAAGTCAGACGTGTTGGTGGGAAGAGACTGGAAGTATTGTTGAAAATGGGGTTTTCTAGATCAAAGGTCTGTAAGCTTTGAGTTAGATTTCTCCAACTTTTAGGGATCAGGAAGGTTTCAGGGATGGTGCTCCCAGTGGAAGTCCTTGTCACCTCTTATTGGGACCCATCCAAGCCCTGGAGAGATTATGTAATGGGGACCAGAAGGGTCCATGCTAGTCCCAGAGAAGGGAGTGGGTGTGTGTGTTGGAGGGGCAGGCACAGTCCTAGCTATTGACTCAGAGAACGGGCTCATTGTGATCTTAAGGTGAATGAGAGATCTCACTGGCAGGATGGCGGGAGATCTCTGTCATTGGTGGCCCTTTCTTCATGTCCCACACCTCTGGGGGACGGTTGACCTCTGACTCTCCTTCAGTTGTCTAAATCCCGTATCTGGGAGGGAGTTTGGAGACACAGACGGTTAAACGGGAGTAAGTTCTGAGAGTCCTTTTTGCAGTTCGGGCCGTGACACTTGGCTAACCATGTGAAATGAATGTCTGCAGAGTTATGAAAAGATTCACCTGGACTTCCTGAAGAGCGACCACCCCGCCGTGGCGCGCATGCGCGTGGACTCGGACAACGCCTACATTGGCGTCACCTACAAAAACGAGGAAGACAAGCTGAAGGACTGGGAGGGCAGCCTGGACGAGCAGAGGCTGAGCGCGGACAGCGGCTACATCATCCCCCTGCCCGACATCGACCCTGTTCCTGAGGAGGAAGACCTGGGCAAGAGGAACAGACACAGGTATAAGGCTTCCGGCAGGGCCCCCCCCCTCCGCTCCCCAGTGCACCCCCTCTCCGCTCCCCAGTGCACCTGATGGTGAGGCTCGCCCGGAGCTGCGTCCGTTCCACGGCAGCCGGCTGCAGAGTCCCCGAGTCCCCAAGGGGTCTGCTCAGTTTTGTAAACGCTTCCCAGACCATCCTAATGCGGGCCCTGTGGGGTTGGGGGAGGTGTAGCGCAGGCAGGGACATGCTTCCCAGGTGGAGAGCCTTTGACCCAAGTCCCCAGGTAGTTTGATCAGTCACTGCAGCCCTGATTCTTGAGATACTATAAGCCTCTCTTGCTGTTTTCTGCATGGGTCCTGGGACTAGGGGGAGAGTTGAGAGAGAGGCTAGACTGGGCTATTTGATACTGACAGGGGATCTTAACCCCAGCTTCAAGTTTGGATCACCTGGGGAGACTTGAAAACTGATCTACACACTTCACCCAGACCAACAAGTTAGAATCTCTGGGAACGGAGCCCAGGCGCCTCCTGGCTGATTTTATTACTTCTTTTAAACTTTGCATAATGGAAGATTTCTAACCTGCCCGATTTAAGTCGAATAGTGAACTGTCGGTTCCTCAGTCACCGGACTTGAGCATTTATGAACTCGTGGCCAGACTGCATGAAGAGCCATATCTTTGGACTGTTTTGAAACAAATCCTAGACATCATATCATTTCATCCATAAATATTCTATTATGGTGCCTCTAAAAGATAAAGGCTCTATTTAAAAGAATAGCTGGGGTTATTAAGTTAATTAAAAAAAAAAAAACTGCAGTACCGTTGTCTTGCCCTCCCCCACCAACTGACAAGAAATCGTTAAAAGCATCAGATATTCAGTGTTCAGATTTCCCTGACTCTCTCATAAATACAGTTTTGCATTTGTTTTGTTCTAATTGAGAACCAAGTAAGAATCACACATGGTATTTAGTTGCTATGTCTCTATACGTTTGTCCTGCCCCTTCTTACCCCCTTGCATAGTAATTGTGAAGAAACTGGAGTATTTGCCTGTAACGTTCCCACATTCAGAATGTTGCTGATTGCATCCTGTAGTGTGTCTGACCATGTGCTTTCTTTCCTGTATTTGCTGTAAACTGGTAGTCTAGAGCCTTGATCTGGCTCAGGTTAGATTTTTGGCAAGCATGCTTCAAAGCCGGTGCTGTGTACGTCCATTGGGAGCTACATACTGTCCAGTTGTCTCCCCTTCTGTGACATTAACAGCCATTAGTGATCATCACCTGGATCCATTAATTTATTACCAACGCGATGCTAACACCCAGCTAGGACTACAGTCATTAGTTTTCACAGTCCCGAAGAGGGGACCATGTCCCAGTTCCCCACTGTCTTTGCATAGCCCTTGAATAGAGGCAGGAGAAAGTGATGATAGTGGTCCTTGGTTCCAGGTCCAAGTTGCATATGAGTCTTCTTTTTTCCTCTTCGTTCAGGATACTCTTGTCCCTTCTTCCTCAGTCACTTGGTTAGCTACATACAGTTATTTAGGCAGAAGCACATGGTGTTATTAGTTTGGAGCCTTGTGATTTTGACATCCCTTGCTGTTGGTATGAACCAAGTAATTTAAAAAGTATAGTTGTGGTTTTGTTTTTGGAATGTGTTATGATACTAGGGAAGGTTGGGCAGAGTGCCCTGACTTACCTTTGCTCATGACTATTTCAAAATTATGTTTATGTTCTTTTAGCAAAGTGTTTCTCTGAGCTTTGGGTATCTGTGGTAGCACTTGACCTCAGATCTGCCATCCTTTTTGGTTATTTTGTATGTCAGGGACTCTGAATAATATTTCAGTTATAAAAAGGTTTTACTTCTAAGTTCAGTTAGAAAGTTGTATTGATAAATAACATAAGCAAAGTGCCCAGAACTTTTCTGGGGGTACACGAGGCTGCACCACAGAATTTGACATCTGTTACACGGAGAGAATAATTCTAGCTGATAGTTGTCGTCTTAGATAATTAGAACTTCTGCAAGGGTGATAACGTTTGATTTTCGAATTGTACGAAGTATATACCAAATGACTACCCCCAGGTCAGTTGAGACTGTGACTCTGACAGGTGGGCTGAGCATGGGGAGCGTTTTGGTCAGCTTAGGCTGCTGTTACACACTATCATGGATTTGGGGTCTTAGACAATAGAAATCTGTTTTCTCACAGTTCTGGAGGCTGGAAGTCCAAGATCAAGGTGTTGGCAGGTTTGGTTTTTCCTGAGGCTCTCTCCTTGGCTTGCAGATGGTGGTCTTTTTAATGTGTCCTCACGTGGTCTTTTTCTGTGTGCGTATTGCGGGTGTCTCTTCCTCTACAACGACCCCAGTCCTATTGGGTGAGGGCCCCATTTTAATGACTTCATTTAACCTTAATTACCTCCTAAAAGGCCCTGTCTCCAAATATAATCACAATGGGGATTAGGGCTTCAACGTGTGAATTTGGTGGGGGGGGGGGCGTTATATGATTCTGTCCATCATGGGGGTGGGGATGCCAGAGTTGGGATGCTCTGGGTCTAGGAAGGCATAGTGGTCCTGTGAAGTCCTCTCCTTGGGCTTGGGAGGGGAGTGGGCATGAGAAAAACTGGCTCTTGCTTGCTGTAGAGGGTTTGGGGGGTGCTGGGTCAGTACTATTGTGGCCAGGCACTGGGCCACAAGAAGGGAATCAGAAGTAAGCCCAGTCATGAGCTCTGGGACTGCCGCGAAGCCTGGCAAGCAGCAAAGATGATCTGGGGCTGAGTCTCCCTGAAGTTAGCTTCCTCCATGGCCACATCCCTGCCTTCTCTCTGTGAGATGGATCGGCAGAGAGGAGCCTGCCAAGCCCAGTAGGGTCAGGGCAAGGGTGTGACTCCTCTGTAGGACTCCACTGTAGAACTGGCCCCCAGGGAGGGGCCATTAGTCCAAATCACAATGTCCAAAGAAGTCTCATAAATGCAGGTCCTAATTGGGTTGGGGTCCATATCCAAGGGTTGACTTAGGCCTCCAGCTACTGGCCAGGGCCCCAGAAAGCAGATCTGTCTGGTCTGCCAGGGAGAAGGGTTTTCAGGACGACATGATTATCAAGACCAGCCCAGTGGACTGGGGTTCACAGTGAGGCTCCCGGACCAGGGGGTAGGGTGGAGTACAGATTCAGAATGGAGACAAAAGCTCAGTCCTAGGGAAGGGCCCAATCTGTGGGGTTGTGAAGGGAAACCTCAGTTTGGTGACCCTACAGGTTCTAAGAGCTCTCCAGGCTACAAGGGCCTTGGGGCGGATGGCAGCAGACTGTTTCCCATAGGCCCCTACCTGCCAGGCTCAGTTCTCTGCTTGGAAATGGAACTGACCTGGAGAGGAGGGGAGCAAGGCAGAGGAGTCAAGCCTGGTCCTCAGGGGATAAAAGAGCTGGGTTGAGAGCCCCTGCTGGGCGTGTGTGAGCCTCGCTCCTCTGGCTGGCCAGCCCATAGTGTGGCTTACATGGCACGTCTCCAGCGTGCTGCTGCAGCCTCACGGTGAGAACAGACTGGCCTGCCTGTCAGCACCTAACCTGCTGAGAGCCAAATGACAGATCTAGACATGTTGCAATCCAAGGCAGGAGAATGATAAGGCAGTAGGAGTTCAGAGACAGGAAGATAGGGAATCATGACAGGCTAGAGACTAGGGAAAATTATTTTTCTAAAAATCTTCAAGAGATATTTTAAATGTCCAGAAAAATTGAGAGACTACATCTACTACTTAGCTTTAGTAGTTGTTAACATTTTGCCACATTTGGTTTCTCTAACTATATAATGTTATAGTTACCCCTATTTTATGTATATATGTAATATATAATAATATGTACTATGTAATTAATAACACATAATATGGAATATATATGTACCACATTCATATACATGCATCCTTTTTCTTTTCTTGCTAAAACATTTGAAACTCCAGCAAACATATCCTAAGAATAAGGATACTCTCAAGGTGCCTGGGTGGCTCAGTCGGTTAAGCGTCTGCCTTCGGCTCAGGTCATGATCCCAGGGCCCTGGGATCGAGCCCCGCGGCAGGCTCCCTGCTTGGCAGGAAGCCTGCTTCTTCCTCTGCCTCTGCCCCACCCACGCACATACTCGCACTCTCTTTGTCAAATAACTAAATCTTTAAGAACAAGCAATAAGGATACTCTCCTATAAAAAATCATAACAGCATGATCACATGTAAGAAAATTAACTATTTCCTGATATCCTCTGCTATTCAGGCCCTATTTAGATAGGGTTTGAGTAATAACAATAATAATAATAGCTAATATTTATTGGGACTTAGTATGTTCTAGGTACTGTGCTCAGTGCTTTATGGTTATTACCTTATTTAATCACCCTGACAAGCAGGAATATCGTCAGGCACTATTGTCATCCCATTCCGTAGGCCAGGGAACTAGCTCAGGGGGTTCAGTGACTGGTGTGACTCCCACAGCTGCTAAGTGCTAGATGATTCCAGACTTACAGCTCCTTTTCAGCCACTTCTCTAGTGAGTAAAGAGCCTTCACCCTGCTTTCCAGACTGGGGCTGGGGAAGATCTGGAAGGGTGTAAAGAAGAGGGGAAGAAGGCATTCCTGAGGCATGCGCTCAGATCCTGAGAACACTGTTTGGACACTCGGGCAGTTTCAGGGACAGCAAGTGACTGGCCCGGCCGTAGTTGGCAGCTGATTTCATCCCTCTGTGCTTTTCCTTCCCTCGTTGTCTTCTGATCAGGCACTGCTTACTTTCTTTTCCACTAGGACTGAGTGGGTGGGGGGGCGGGGAGGCTAAAAATTGTCACAGCTTGTTAGCAACTCTGCTGGAAGATTTGACAGAACAGAAGGAAGGCCGAAGCATGGAGATGACCTGGGGATCTCGATTTTGCACGGGGCCCACTGTGGTGTGACACATGATGAGTAGCTGCCTGGCTTGGCAGCAGAATCTTGCCAGATCGGGTGGTGTGAGGTGGAATGCCGAAGGATCTCGCAGGAAGAACTCCTTTGCTTCTGGGGGCAGGGAGCACCCTAGCCACCCATCCAGTCTCATGGGTCTGCACGTGGGCTTAACCTTTCCAATCCTCTCCCTCGTCCAGCTCACAGACCTCAGAAGAGAGCGCTATCGAGACAGGTTCCAGCAGCTCTACTTTCATCAAGAGAGAGGATGAAACTATCGAGGATATCGACATGATGGACGACATTGGCATAGACTCCTCAGACCTGGTAGAGGACAGCTTCCTGTGACTGGCAGATTCAGGGGGGCACTTTCCACTCCTGGGGCCACCTTGGATCCCTTTAAGCAAACCACTTGATTGCAACGCAAACGTTTGGGAGGAGGACTCGGATGAGGTGTAAAGAGAAGTTCTCGGCCAAGGGCCTCAGGGAGCCTGCTCACTATGGATGAATGGGAGATTTCAAAATGAACTCTGTCAGCCTTGCCTCTTGGCAATGCTTCAGTAGCATCTTAGCGGCGTGTGAAGTTTGGAGATGTTTGGACAAGGAAGTGATAGGCCTCTTCCAAGGCATTGGTGAGATTCCAACAGACACAACTTCGATTGCGAGAAAACCCCAGCAGTGTAATTATGTAAATAGGTCTAACTGAGGATGTGTTTAGATTTGTATTAACTGTCTTCTCTGGACTTCTGAAGAGACCACTCATCCCATCCATGTACTTCCTGCTTGAAACCTGGTATCAGCTGCTGTTGAACTCCTCTTTGAAGTACATGCAAAACCACTTTTGAACCTTAAAAGGTACTGGTACTATAGCATTTTACTTTTTTTTTTTTTTTAGTGTTAAAGAGATAAAGAATAATAATTAACCAATCTTGTTTACTAGATTTGGGTCCTTTAGAAGCCCACCAACTCATTTCCGTATTGTAATCTACGTTTATAATACTACTGTTATCAGTAATGCTAAATGTGTAATGTGTAACACGTTTTCCCTACAGAGAAAGCACAATTAAAAAAAAAATTCTTACTAAGTAGGCGACAAGTTGGACAGTTTTTGACATTTATATCAAATAACCGATGTTTCTCTAGAAAATATGGTAATAGCTTTAGTGGATTAAATTTAGTGGAACATAGAGAACAAAGTAAAAGTAGTGTCTTCCAGGAAGTCCGTGTTTTTAACTGTGTACTGAGTAGGTTCCCTAATCTGTTGTACTAAAAACAGTTAATTGCCCTCTGAAGTGATGGGATTTGAAAGAAACAAAACCCCTAAATCCTAAATGTTCTCAATATAAAGGCATAAGCCTATGCCTAACATGACTTCTCATGTTATTACCCCGTGGAAAATACAATCAGCAATAAAAAGACTTAATTTGCAGAGGTCATTTTCATGCCCGGTGATAACTCTGGTGCATCCCAACATCTGTATTTTTAAAATTTTACAAACCCTAGAAGAGTCAGAAGGATGCCTTGACCATGGCCCCCTTTCCTTCATCTCCTCCCCCACAGAGAAATAGTTTGAAACTGTGAGAACACACAGGCATTGTTTAGGGTTGCATGTGTGTTAGACTGGATCCTCGCTTCCCAAATGTAATCGCAACCAGGATCACCAAATTCTAGGTCCCCACTCCAGAGCTTCTGAATTATTGAGTCTGGCCAGGGGCAGGATACTGTATTTTTATAAACTCCCTGGCTGTTTCGATTAGCCAGGTTTGGGAAACATCAGCTTAGGTTACAGGAAGTTGCCATGGGAAACAGATCATTTGAAATTTGGAACTGGGCTAGAAGTCACCCATGCAGGAAGCCTACTATTTTAAATCCTTGGCTTTGGGTCAGTGACATTTAATGCCCGATATCTAGCAAGTGCTGCCCTTTGTTTAACTTTCCAGTCTTAGCTGAGGCTGAGAGAGCTAAATCTTGGTTTGGTAGATCTTCTAGAAATAAAGACAGCACTTCCCACTGCATGGGGCAACTGGACTGGCCCCCCCCGCCCCATGGCATGCACGAAAATGACGCTATTCAGTGTCCCAAGTCTCTGTGTAACCAGGTCAATATTTTGGTGAAAAAAATTTTTAAGTTTTGCTGAAATTTTGGGGTGAGACGGCAGGACAAATTGTCACATCCATCCAAACTGCCAAAACTGATTGGTGTGGGTTCATTGGCATTCTTTGCAATACCACTTAATTGCTGACACCGTATGAAAGAAACACAGGCTGTGATTAGTGCACTCACTGTGGGTGCTCCTGGCAGGTGATGCTTTGGAAGATGTAGCAGCAGTAACAAGGTACTTGACTACCCACTGGTGCAATCTCAATGCAAGCCCCAACTTTCTTCTCCACCTTTTTCATACTAAGTGTGAAGACTGAGCCAAACTGGCCAATTAAAAAAAAGAAAATCTGACTAGGTTCTGTAGAGCCAATTAGACTTGAAATACATTTGTGTTTCTAGAATCACAGCTCAAGCATTCTGTTTATCGCTCACTGTCTCTTGTACAGCCTTCTTTTGTTGGTGCTTTGCATTTTGATGTTCCTTTGAGTTCTGCATGACATCACGAGGCTGGATGAAATTCTCAGACAAGCAGGTTCTAGTCCTAATGAATACTCCCAACTAATGAGTACTCCCACCTGAGTTTGTGTGTGACTGCTTTTTTTTTTTTTTTTTTTAAACAGTGTTTTCAGTGTATCACAGATTTGTTTCCTTTTTGGCCTCTTGCAAAGTCCCCAGATGAAAATTTGCCAATCCTTCCCGCTTTCTGTTTTTATGGAGACAATCAAAGCTGGCCTGAGAAACACAATTTGTGACTTTTTAAAATGATCAATGATGTCCTTAAAATGTGGTCTGCCGATCTGTACAAATGGTCCTATTTTTGTGAAGAGGGACGTGAGATAAAATGATGTTATACATCAATATGTATATATGTATTTCTATATAGACTTGGAGAATACTGCCAAAACATTTATGACAAGCTGTATCACTGCCTTTGTTTATATTTTTTTTGACTGTGATATTCCCCACAGGCACATTGACTGTTGCACTTTTGAATGTCCAAAATTTATATTTTAGAAAAATAAAGAGAAAAATACGTGTTTCCAAAATAGTGGTGTGGCGAATGTGTGAGAAGTAACTCAATAGGTAGGGTCTACTGATAAAAAAAGATGTATTACAAAATGCCCCATTTGTGTTTTTGTTTTAAAACGTGTAAATGAAGATCTTTATATTTCAATAAATGATATATATGTAATTTAAAGTTATGCTAAGGTTCCAGCATTTTTGTTTTTAGCCGAATCACATGAATTAAAGCCATCCCATTCAATTTGCTTTGTTAGCAACATTTCAGTAGGACTCCATATTATGGTTTCGATGAGACCAGTAGGAAATTTAAGATTTGAATATTATTTGAGCTAGTTAGTTTTCAGACCCAGGATCTGACTTAAAGATGGCTGGCACTTGGCTCATCTTCGATCCTACTGTTTATTTGTTTTAATAGCATTATATTGCATGGTATTTTTCTCCCCCGCAGAAAGAGTACATTTACTGTCTACAACATTCAAACGTTGCCCATGTGTGTAATATAAAAGATTACGGACTTTTTTCATTCTGTCATCCCTGTCCCTGTGCTGGTTCCCAGAGGCAGAAATGCATCTTCTATCTTTCCAGTTCCCTATCTGTGCATCTGTTTCTATACATATGTATACATCTCTATTTTTGCTTCATATTTTACCCAAGTGGGGTTTACTTCTTTTTTTTAAATATTTTATTTATTTTTATTTTAGAGTGAGAGCACGCGAGAGAGCACGTGTGCACGAGCTGGGTGAGGGCAGAGGGAGAGAATCTCCAGCAGATTCCTTGCTGAGTGCAGAGCCTGATGCAGGGCTTGATCCCATGACCCTCAGATCATGACCTGAGCTGAAACCAAGCGTCGGACGCTTAACCAACTGAGCCACCCAGGCACCTCCATAATGCTTTGTAAAGTGCTTTCCCCCCGTTTTTTTATTTTTTTATTTTTATTTTTTTAAAAATTATTGATTTATTTATTTGACAGAGAGAGACACAGCGAGAGAGGGAACACAAGCAGGGTGAGTGGGAGAGGGAGAAGCAGGCTTCCCGCAGAGCAGGGAGCCCGATGTGGGGCTCGATCCCAGGACCCTGGGATCATGACCCGAGCCGAAGGCAGACGCCTAACGACTGAGCCACCCAGGCGCTCCTCCCCCCGTTTTTTTAAACATAGACTTTATTTCCTAGAGCAGTTTTAGGTTCACAGCAAAATTGAATGTAAGGTATAGAGGTTTCCCCTCTACCTCTTGCCTCCCCCATCATCAGCATCTCCCAGAGTGGCACATTTGTTACAATTGATGAACCTATACTGACACATCATTATCAGAGTTCATGCTGCTTTTCTCTTTCAATGCTATGTTTTAGAGATCTCTGTGAGAAGTACCTATAGATCGCCCTCATTTTTTATGAGCTGTACAGTTTCACATTATGTGAATGTACCAGAATCGATGCAATCGCGTTCCTCTAGGTGCATTTATGGTTTCCTTGCTTTGCTGTTGGAATGACTTCATGAAGCTCCTTGCACACACATCCTTGTGCACACATAGTAGTGTTTCGTTAGGACAGAATCCTAGAAATGAAATTGCTAGGCCAAAGGGTGTGCAGAAATAAGTTGATATCAAGTGCAAGTCTTCCCATATGATTGTCCCAATAAAATTTTGAATCGCCTGCTTTGCAGGTTATTTTAGGAACCCTAGTTTTCTAGGGTTTCCTCTGCCTCTCATCACTCACTGCGATATGGTAAGTGTTGGGAGGGTGTTGGTTTTTGTGTTCTGAAGCATGTCAAATCAAATGACTTTAGGATTTAAAGAACAAAAATTATGGGGGCACCTGGGTGGCTCAGATGGTTAAGTGTCTGCTTTCAGCTCAGGTCATGACCCCAGGGTCCTGGGATTGAGCCCCGCATTGGGCTCCTTGCTTGGCGGGGAGCCTGCTTCTCCCTCTCCCTCTGCTATTCCCCCTGGAACAGTAGGGAACAGTAGAGAGCTTGTGCTCTCTTGTTCTCTCCGTCAAATAAATTAATAAAATCTTTAAAAAAAAACACAAAAATTATACAATTCAACTTATTTTTAATTTCTGGATGATAGAAATTGATTGTTATTAATAATTGGAATATAACACCCTATCCCAACATAACTCGTTATTACCCATATTCATTAGCCTGCAGATCAAAGTTCACCTCCTTGGAGTTAAGTTGGAAGATGCTGACTATAGGCTGGGTATTGGCTCTGCTTCTGTTCCAGCCCCAAGAAGGAGATGGGACTTCGGGAACAATAATCCTACTGATTAAACAAGAGCTGCCTGATCTAGCATCCACACAAGGTGCTATGCCTGCAGAGTGATCTTTCTGTTTTCCTTTTTAATGTATAATTCTACCTCTTAATATAATACAGACAATGCGGCCTACTTGATTTCCCCGTGAGATAAAAATGACTTTCACTATTGGAGGTTTTTTTTTTAATTTAATTCAACTAGCCCACATATAGTACATCATTAGTTTCAGATGCAGTGTTCAGTGATTCATCAGTTGCATATAACACCCAGTGCTCATTACATCACATGCCCTCCTTAATGCCCATCACCTTGTTACCACTATTGGAGGGTTTTAAAACTCTTTGAAAGATCCTTTTCACATTGACTTCTTTTGCTTCTTAAGATAGCACTTTGAGGCAGGGAAGACATTTTATAGATGAGGAAACCAAGGGACTTCTAAAAACCATGCAGCTGGGTAATGAGAGCACCAGGGCTAGAAATTCCAAATATACTAATTCCAGTGCTGTTTATATCACACCAGACCATGGGAAAGCAAGAGATACTGAGAAAATGTTTCTGTTCAGAAGTAGGTTGCTTTGCTTCTTGAGATATTTCAAAAGACAAGTGATGGACTAGTTGTCCTGTAGAAGTATTTTACACATTTATAATAAGAACAATTTCTTTTTAGGCTATACTACAACAGATCT